GCAGTATTTTGCACTTCAATCTCTAGAAAATTACTAATAGGGATAATCATTTTACAAAAGAATAACACACTTTATACTGACCCATAGAAGAATGTTTAAAAGCAGAAACGATCACTGCATCTAGATAGTATAAAAAGTACACAACATGTATAAATAGTTGATACATAGCCATCAAAATATGAATTTGCTAATCACATTTTACAAATCGTAAGCATATACACGAAATCTTACCCCTAAGATTGTAGAGTATAAGAGTATTTATACGTTTGAAATGCAATACGAAGTCTTTTAACGATTATAAGGATATCGAATACCAAACATGAGGATTTAGAGGTAAAGTGTAAATAATACTAAGCGTATGTCACGCACCAATCTCAAGGTATAGTCACTGGCATGTGGATATTTGAAACTCGAGGTGGTTGACTTTTTTATACGCTTTGTCCTACGATTACTTCAAATACTTCGGGCAGTGGAGAATGTATATCGATTTTGAGAGATGAACCGTCCCTCGGTTGTACTTTTGTAAAGTTTCACATTATTATATTACCCTTGAAATATGACTTTGCTTTTTCATTAATCTAATGTGCTTGTGCAGATACAACAATGGCGTGATTGATTGAATAGCAATATAAAAGGATTGAAAGATTATGTCTACACAATCCACAAATAACTGTGAAAAAAAAACAAAAAAAAAACAATGATTTACGATGATCGATATTATTTGATTGTTTAGTCAATAAGTCAATGATATGGTCACAATGAGTTTCACTTTTGTATTGATAATAATCAGTACTTGTTTACAAAACAAAAAACTTACATAAAATGTGTCAATCTGAACTATTCGGGATGACATATCCTACAAATAAGACGCACATGCTCTATCAAATCCAGTAGTATCTAACTTCTAGAAAAATAATCCCTGATATTCATACTGTTCAGTCTTCCTGTTACAAAGCGATGCACTACATAGGGTGTACAATACTATTGCAAAATACTTTTGATGCTTTTCTAATAACATCACTATATTATAATACCATGTATGTCATTATTTTGTATCAAAACATCTATTATTCTTTGTGTAGCTGTGACTGAGAGTGAACTTGATGAATATTGCCTGAATATTGTTAGTTAATCACAATAAGCGCTGGGGTCACCAAGTCAGCATCAACAGTATATTTTTTCTGTAACTATAATGTGCAATTTCCATGAATAAAACAGTCGGTCATCAAAGAACAGCCAATATCTATGTCAAAGAGATAGGTTATATTGCAATGTTCTGCTCATTTTACTAAAAATTAAGAACTGTGACATATTACAAAAACCGATCAGAAGTGCCGACTCAAGGCGAATTCCCGACCGATTCCATGTGATGCCCGTATTTGGATAATTTGTTCTGACTATGGGTGGTTACTTTTTTGGTACTATACCGTTGGTGTCTACGGCGATGCCAGAATATGTGCATCCCACAAGATCTTGATATCTAGCCCCAAATACGATACAAAAACACTTTTTTGTATCGGTACTTAGGCCTTATGCCTTCGAGGTGCTTAAAGTATACAAAAATTCTATTCTAATGGTTTCATGAAGTAGGAATCATACTGTCGGTGTCTATATATAGTACATAATCTACCTGATTTTGCTACCGTTAAATGAAAGTCTTGACGGATATTTCGTGAATTGACATTCCATTCAGTATTGTAGTTATGTCCTTTCACTGAAACAAAGCAGTTACGTCATATTTAGTAAATTTGAATGCCAACCTTAATGCAAAATAGATCCTAAATTGGTACGTATAGTATAGATACATTTCTGTCGGTAACAGTTTTATGTCTTGTGACATTGTCGCAAAGCATGTTAGGTAACTACGCCACCGGCTCTTGTTTATTTGTGGTTTGTTTCCTAGGACCTAGTAGTTTTAAGTAATGTGGCAACCATGTGCGTCACTGTCATTATTTGACGTTGTGACGTAGCTACTTTGATTCAATGATTACACATGTTTCTTTTACGTATGTTAGCGACTATACACCCCATTCGTAGTCCATTTACGCCTAGACAAAACACAACATGCCCAAAAGCGAGCTTGTACAGGTCCGTATTTTCCTCAATGGTCTTGGAATAATCTAACAAAATAAATGATTATTTTTATAGAAAGAAGTGCACATACTTCTTACAATTCTTTATTCGCTGAAAGTACTTGAATCATCGTCCGAATGGTTAATATTAATTATTACAGGTTCAATTTGAATATCAATCAAATTGTCCAGATCCCACAATTTTGTTGTGCCAAGGACGCAAAGACTTATACACCGAGAGGGTTAGGAAATTAATTCAGTTCGTTTACAAGTTTATAAGATGTGTTTACTATGTAACATCATAAACATTTAAATGACCCTGCATTATCTTGAACAATAAATTGGCTTCTTGGGTGAAATCGTGAATTAAAGCCAGGTCAAGTCATCGTTGGTTGTCAGAGTGGTCCGTAGGACTTTAGCTCTTGTATCATAGTGTCAGTTTGTGAGTCTGTCAAGTTTGGTAACCTAGAAACCAGACAAAGTTAAGGGATGTGATTTGAATTGGATAGCAAAAGGCAGTACAAAAGATTCACTGTTGAACATTTAATTTTCTGATAATGGTGGACCGATGTTGAGGTGGAATAACACAAGCTGTGCGCGGAATATTATTTTTTCATTTGGAAGATAGAATTATGTTATTATTTATGGAATATGACATCGTTCAAATATCCGCTGACTGTCACACAGAGGCATTGTTCCGGGACGTTCAATTAGCAATGATTCTGCTGCATGGATTGAGCTAAATTTAACCGATGGCTTTAGATAGGTTGACATCAAGAGCATCGCTGGATTACAGCTTGTTGTTATTGCTCTACGAATCCACGATTCAAAAGCCTAAAAGAATCTTAACGCACGATCTGGCAACCAAGATCTCGTCTATTAGAGTTAACCCTTTTTTCAATAGTTTCATTCAAAATGCGCCAATCAAGATAATTCAAACCTAAATTAGTATGTTGCTGAAAATACGAGCCCCTTCCCACTTCAGTTGGCCCAACTATAGAAATCTTAGTTTTTTTCTTATCAAACAAAAATAATAAAAATGTAGCATGTGCTATAGGTTTAAAATATTAACAATGAATATTTTGATAATATATAGTAGAAAACACCAACTTTATCACTCCCTAATCAAATTTGCAGCATAAAAATAACACATGTTGCAATTACAGCATATCACCCTATTTTCATTTCAATGCAAAATAAGTCTATAACGCATAGGTGGCTGTGAATAATAAAAGCCATGACAATTATTTTTATTAATCACAGCTGTCAGAATACGTTTAAAATAGTTTTGGGTAGTTAAAGTTTTCAAAATGGGTAGAGGAAAGGTTATTAGTGAGAAAATTTGGTTACTGATAATTAAATTTTTTAATTCTGGGAAATCAAACTCAGAAATCGCAACTTTGTTAGACTAATCACGGTACAGTGTGAGAAATATTGTTAGAAGATATAACGTAACTGGTTCAGTTAATATTAAGCCACGATATGTGAAAAAGAGCAATATCACAAAGATAATATCACCCAAGAGCATTAAGAAGAATAATCGTGAAAAATAGGCGTGCCAATTATTTGCAATTAAGTGCTCTGTGGAGTGACGCTGTTGGAAGGCGAATTTCGAGGTCCACAACTCATAGAGAGGCGCACAAACTGGGATTTAGCACTTGCAAGGTAAGTTTTGTTATAAAAAAAAGAGAAGTAAAAACCCTAAAGTTGCACAACTTGTTTATAGCCCAAAGAAAAGTGACTATTAACTCCACTGCAAAAGAAAAATCGGCTTAGATGGGGTAAAGAACATAGACAATGGACACCTCAACAATGGTATGCAATACAATGGAGTGATGAGAGCCGATTCGAAGTTTGTGTTGGTGACAGTCGCAGTAGAGTTATTCGCAAAAAAATGAAGCATTCCATGTTGACTGTCTGAAGAGAAAAGTGAAATTTCCAGCATCCATTATGGTCTGGGGCAGTATGTCATCAAAAGGAGTAGGAAAACTTCATTTTATTGATGGAAATGTGGATACAAACAAATATTTGGCAATTTTAGAAGAATCGCTTTCACCAGTGATGGAAGCAAGATGATGCAGCGTGCCATACCTCAAAAAAGGCTATAAAATGGATGGAAGAAAATAATGTACCACTTTTCAAATGGGTTTCTAGTAGTCCAGATCTGTCACATATTGAAACTTTGTGGCACGAGATGAAAAAGGTTCTACGACAACATCCTGCTCGTACAATCACCGAACTGAGACAAAAGCTTCAAGAAATATGGGATTGTTTTACACCAAACTTGGTTAACACTATGCCCCAAAGAATTTCAACCGTAATAAAAAATAAGGGTGATGTTATCCAATGGTAATCTTTCAAATGTTGCTTTGTTAACTTCGCGCATTTATTCGCACATTGTTTACTTGTTCAGATGTTCTATTAGTTATAGGTCTAAGTGATTTCAACTATGTATTTTTTACGACTAGAGTGTATTCAAAATGTTATCTAAAATAAATTGTTTTAGAAGTAAATAGTTTCGTCATATTTAGTTTATAAAGGCATATTTTGGTACAAATCTTGAAGTGGGCCAACTGAAGTGGGAAGGGGCTCGTATATAAGACTGGCGTCCTCAACAGTCCTGTATTATAATAATGAAATAGTTTTTTCAATATTGAGTCTACATAGTCTTCTTACGTTCGTATTTTGAACCAATTTCACCACAAACTTTATATAGTTTCAGCAACACGCTAACTGAGTTTTGAATCCTCTTGGTTGGAGCTCGCCACCCTGTGAATTCATATAAATAAATAAATATTAAGGCTGCGCTCAGTAGCACTTAGCAGCTGAATCTAAGCGTATAATATGTCTTAGGATACTGAATGTCTGTCGAGTGCTAGTGAACGTAACCATTCTTCCGTGACCTTGTCTACGCCATCCTTACCAAACGTCTCTTCCTTATCTTACACTCTCTTTTCAAAGTGACATTGGCCCCCCAGCTGCGTCAGGCTACTGATAGTAACGATTTTATTGAACGTTCCTTCAACACCTTCATCAAATTCCCCTCCCAACACAACCTAAAATACCCCCAAATCATAGTAAGCAATACGTTTCAGTATCTTCTCAGCCTCCGACATGTAATCCAACTGGTATTCAGGTGACGTCTGGCACTCCTTATCTACCATGGCTCGCTGATCTGTCAAATGTCACCTGTGCTTCGCAAGGAACGCCTCGGCTCACATGTACGCTGGCTTCATTTTGTATGCCCGCTTCCAGATTTCGCACAGGCACACCGTCGAATGGAAGCGGTAGAAGATGGCCAATGGCATGGATACGTGGGTGATGATGGTCCAGGCCCAAAGACCGTAGAAATGCAACTGGATTGGGTGAGATTCCGCTCGTGATTTTTCTAAGGTGTTGATCGCCCACATGGCCAGGTTGGTCACCAGAAGGAATGTCACTATCTGGCGGCCCGGTTTCTTACGCATTTGTTCTGGAGTGACACACGACCTAGAAATATTAAATGCATTAAACACAGTGTTGCCATACGTAGCGGAATTCCGCTATTTGTAGCGGATTATTTTGAGAAGAGCGGCGTAGCGGCGGTAGAGCAAATTAGCCCAAAATGTAGCGGAATTTATTACATACAAAACTATCATATTTATTTCACTGTTTTAACGTTAATAACGTTCTAAATCCTAAATATGCAGTGGCTAGAGTCTGATTTATTATCACATTAATAATAAAATTGGTGCATTTGGTGCCGCTTGAGCCATCTAGGAACACAGAAGAGAATTATTCCACTTGCCTTTTTTTTCAATAACAGATGGCGTACGTACTGCTTTCAATACTAATCGTTTCTAACAGGTCTCAGCAGGCAGACATAATATTAGGTTTCTCGCTTTATATTGTATTTTTCAACTCTGGGTATATACTGTTTAGTTTCGTTTATATTAGTGTTCTTATTGTTGTGTTGATCATTTTATTGATACATCATTTGCTGTAGATTTTAATATTAAATCTACTGGTAAGTAACAAAACTGCTTAAATATCTAACATATTATAGTTTGATCCAGAAATAAATCTTAGTCGCGAAATTTGTTTTTAATGCTTTTTCTTCTGGAAAATAGGAATAATGGAAAGGCGACAGCAGACCATTAACGACTTTTTTGATAAAAATCCTTCTAAAAAACAAACGGTGAAACCAAACGTGGCCGTACCATCCACTTCGACTGCATCTGTGTCGGACTCGGAGAATCCCGAACCTGAATACAGACAAAATAGAAGAGCGGAATCTAGTGGAATCAGGTCTGAGTCTGATAATTCGACTTGCGAATCTCAGGATAACCAAGAGCCAGAGCAACCTGTTAAGAAAAAGACACGAAAACAAATGTTTACTTCATCATGGCTAGAAGATCCGTTATTTAAAGGCTGGTTGGGACCTATTGAAAATGACAAGTTGAAAGCAAAATGTAAAGCTTGTAATCAAATAATGGGTGCTAAAAAATCAGATTTAGTGAATCATTCGAAATCAAATAGGCATGCCACTAATGTACAAGCAATTTCGAATGTAAGAACGTTAGATAGCACTTTTCAGTCTCGGGAAGCACGTGAGTTGGAAAAACGGCAAATATTTGCTTGCTTAAGATATAGTCTTTTAGTTGTAAGTCATTATATATTTTAGAACTGTTGATCATATAACAGGAGTTAGTCAATTATGTTTTAAAGACCCAGATCTCTCTAGCTCACTTAAATTAAAAAGATCCAAATGCATAAGTATAATTAAAAATGTGCTGGCTCCTGTTATTAAAGACGAAATAATTTCAGAATTGGAAAATAAACCATTTTCTATTTTATTGGATGAGAGTACAGACCTGAGCAATACAAGACTACTATGCATTTTTGTAAGGTACTTTCATAAAAATTCAATTAAAACCCATTTATTAGATATAATTAAAATAAACGCAGATGAAGGTACCGCCAAAGGTTTATATTCTCTTTTTAAAAAATGCGTTATATCCAATCAAGTAAAAATTACCAATATTGTTGGATACTGTTCCGACAACGCTAGTGTTATGATGGGCAATAACGAATCATTCAAAACTTATTTTTTAAAAGATAATCCTAATATAATTGTCAATGGCTGCATTTGCCACTCTGCTCATTTAGTGGCGGTGGCGGCAGCTGAAAAGATTCCAAGCAACGTTGAAGCTCTTTTACAAAACTTATATTCTTACTTCTCAAGAAGCCCAAAAAGGCAGTGTGTTCTTGAAGAATTACAGGAATATTTCAAAAAGTCAAAATTAAAAATTTTAAGCCCTAGTAAAACAAGGTGGCTTGCTTTATCCAAATGTGTTGATAGAGTTTTGGATCAGTGGGACATCTTGCTTAGCCTATTTAGATTAGCTTCCATTGAAGACAAAAATCCTGTAGCAAATGTAATACTTAGTGAGTTACAGAATCCATTTGTTAAGGCGTATTTAACGTTTTTTAAATTCGTGTTGCCCATGTTTAACCAATTTAATGCTCTCTTTCAATCAGATAAAGTTATGCTCAATATCATATCAATAGAGAGTGAGCGATTTGTACGTCATCTATGTACAAACTTTATGCGACCAGAATATTTTAAAAATGAGAAATTATATAATCTAAATCCTAATGATCCCCACTGCTTATTACCAATTGAACAAGTGAATGTTGGTCCGCATACAATGGATGCAATAAAACACTGCAATAACACGGCAATCGAACAATTTAAATTAAAATGTGTCACATTTTACCAAAAATCGGTAGAAGAGTCCCTTAAAAGATTTCCTATCAAAGACAACTTCTTTTCAGAGCTAAAGTTTCTCTCATCGGTTGATGTGATGAACAATCGTCTTGTTATAAGTGATACCTTTCATGACGCCGTTTTAAAAAAATTTGCCCTTCATATTAAAACCGAAAAGGCAATTTTGGAACTAAAGAAAATATGTATTTATTTTAGTGATAGTGAGAAAGAGGAAATTTTAAAAACAAAAAGTAATGTCATTGAATTTTGGTCGTTTCTAAACGACCTCAAAAATTTTAATGACGAATATTTATTTCGCAATATAGGTAAACTGGCTCTAATCATTTTAACATTGCCTCATGGAAACGCTGATTTTGAGCGAACTTTTTCTTATATGCTTGATTACAAGACAAAAAAAGAAATAAAATAATACCATCAACTTTGTCTGCACTACTTACAATTAAATTAGACTTGGAATCAAAAAAACAGTGCTTTATCCTATAGTTTTAATGAGAATCATTTAAACAAATATGAAAAGAATTTATATAATGTAAATAAGGAAGAACAAGCTGAAGAAGAAGTAATTCCTGATTCTGACTGTGAATAAAATAAGCAAACGTAGGCATTTCCACGTTTCCGCTTCTTCTTTGTCCTTAGTTTTTGTTTTTTTTTCTATTAAGATTAAGATATTGGTGATAGTTTCTATTTTTTTATTAGTTCTTAATTCTAAACCAAAGACAGTTTTGTTTTTTTAGAGGTATACTTTTTATGTTTTTACGAAAAATTGCAATTATATTATGTTACTTTTTGTATTTTTAGTATGGTTTTTAGACAGTGTTTAAAAAAAGTAAATATGTAAAAAATATATTTGTTGTTTATTTTAAGCCTCGTGTGACGGATATTTTAAACTTCGCTCTGGCAACACTGATTAAACATTAAAAGTACTTGTGGTTTTCGAAAGACAAAGCTTTTACATGTATAAGTTCTCAACTTAGAAGGGACAAAATACTATTTACTAGTGGTAACCTGATAACCAAGAGGTGCCGATGCATCAGACCATTCGCCGCGTTGTTCTACCCCTTAACCCTTACTAGGTCTCAAGCTGACCTTCGATCCAAAATATTGGATTTTATCCAGAAAGCTTTACCTATTGTGTGATGAAGACTTTTGTCCCACATCCGCACGTAGGATCTTCCGTCATGTCCATAACTTGTATATGGTATCTAAACATCTTATAGTCAGCCCCACCGACAGCAGTAGGCTGCAAGACATCGATCTCCCAAATGAATGTTACTCCGTTTCATGGAATGGTAGTTCGCAATCCGTTGTTCTGTATCATTGTAACCTTTTTCGTAGACACTACTAAGTCTAGTTCATAACTGGAACCATTATTTGTTCACACTACCAACATCTTGTAAGCATGGTATCACCACGAAGGCTAACTTAAATCTAATACAAGCTATCTTAAAAGAGAAAATACCCAATAAAAAGATTGTAGAAATAGTACAACTGCTACTTACCTTCTTGATGCATCCAATATGAAAATCGTCTGACAAGTAGTCTGGAGAAGTGACGATAAGGCTGTAACTAAAACCAGAACGGTGCTTTTCTGTATAGTAAATTGACTGCCGATGATAGTGAACGTACTGTAGATAAACATGCCTGTTTGTGCTCCAACCAGTAAGATGTTGTCGAGTTCTAAGTTCTTTCCTCCATCGTACTTGAGTTGCCGGACTTGCCACATACCTATCAGTGATGCTAGAGTGGTAAGGCCGTACAGGCCCAATTCACATATGTTGACTTCAATAACTGCCAAGCCTGTAATAAGAAACATGCACATCTAAGTTCTTAAGAACTTGGGTTCACTTATAGCAAAATTCAAGAGGGGCCCATCGCTGGCTTTGCAACATTTCCGTCTCGGGGAAGAAGGAAGGGGAGAGGGTTTGCCAACTATTGAAAATTTAATGCTCTCGATTTGCTCAAAAAGCAAACAACCTTCAAATTCCCACCCTTGCTATTGCGAGTGATGCTAGGTATACTAAAGCTTTATATAATAAGAATAGCGGATTGTAAACGCAAATCTCAACTTAAGATTTTTCTATTTCACGAGCTACAGCTTTAACAGCCTGATTTATTTGGCATTTGAGGTGTGCTTGAATTCGTCTTTATAATAGAATTGCTTCTTCATTCTTTTCAGTTATGGTAATCAGATTGCTTGTATCTTTAAAGAATCTACATATCTCTTTCTCTATGTGCATGAGCGTCTGGAGAGGAGTGGGCAGCACATCTTCACAATTCAGATCTAGCAAGGTAATCTTTGTTGATGTTTTGGAAACCAGAAACACGCACGTCACTCGATGCATGAAAAACGGGTATTAGATATATTTCACTTCTCAAGGGTAAGCCAGGGGGCATACGTCTCCCTTTGCCCCTAATGGGCGCCGATGTTTAAAAGACTAGTACTTTCTTAACACCGAAGCCGCGCAGGCAGAAGCCTACATGCCAGGACACCGCGGCTGCTATGAGGAGCTTCGAGAAACTGTGTTCATCCGATTTTTGAACTGCCTAAGGTTAGTACAACTGGGAAAAGCCTCCTCATGTAGATTGTTTCACAATTTCGATGCCCTAGGGAAAAAGAACAAGTCGTATCGGCCAGTTCTGGGTGTACGAAGTTTGACACGGTTAGGATGAGAAGCTGGAGTCAGGCGGATCTGTCGGGCAGGCACATTGCGCAGCTGCATCTTGGAGGAGAGTTCTGTGGAGTAAAGCCTGTTGGTATAGCGGTAGAAGAGAGTTAGATCACTGTCAGCCCGCTGATGCGAAAGGGTCCCGAAACTGTCCGTTAGAGAATAGTCATCAATCCAGTCCGACAGCCCTCATCTGCATCGAGCATGAATATTGTAGTCGGGCGACAGCATCCCAGACATGTGAGCAGCACTCGAGGCTAGCTCTTATCTCGACCTTGCACAGAGTGAGGAGGCATGTGGTGAAAAGTAGTTCTTAGCCTTAAACAAATAGCCTAGCTTTTCCAAGCATCTGCCGCTATTGACGAGATGTGTTCGTGCCAAATCGTTCATCCGACCAGCCAAAATGAACGTCACTTTGGTAGTACTGTATTTTGGAAGCATTAAACAGTATTTTTGTCTCCGGCAGGGAACGCCTTGTCACTCTGAATTCCTGCATGTAGAGTGCTGTAATCAGCAAAGCTGTGGTTTAGATTGACCGTATAGGAAAGAAGGTCGTTGATATATAAGAGGAACAATGTCAGAGCCAAGATCGATCCCTGGGAAACACCCGTGTTGACGTTGCGGTATGAAGAGGAGAACCAGTCAATTACGACGGATATCTTGTGGCCCGAGAGAAAGTCAGCCACCCATCTGCAAAGCTTCTCTGGAAAGCCATAGGATGGAAGTTTTCATAAGAGGGCAGCGTGCAACAGCTGATCGAATGCTTTCATGACATAAAGAGCAACGACATGAGCCTCACCAGAAGACTGGATGAGTTTACTCCACAGTTGCGTGACGTAAGCTTATAGATCCCCTGTGGATCCCTGGTGCCGGAAACCATATTGCCTGTCGCTAATCAGGAATTGTCGTTCTAGGTAATCCAGAAACAGCCCGATTTATGCTCATCTCCACCACCTTACTTATAACAGAAAATAGAGCTATAGGCCTGTAGTTGTAAGGGTAGATCTTAGATCCTTTTTTGGAATAGGTTGCATATATACAAATTTACTGTTTTATATTCATTAAACACCAACAATATTTCAGTTACACCCAGGGCGTGAGTGGTACCCACAAAAACGGCGATGTACCCTGAATAGAAATCAGAAAACAAGCATAACCCAAAAAATCCATATTTATCGTTAAAAGGGAGCATGCGCAAGAAAATGTTTGTTCTCAACTTGGTACAGTATGTCTGCTTTGAAATATGTTCACGTTTAAGACGAAGCGGATCACAACCGATGCAGGTTCCGTAAAGCCCCTTTACTTCGCATGATAGGTCTGAAGGCGTAATAGACTAAATCCGAATCAACATTACAGTGCTAATCCCCCATATTTCTCTGGCCAATCGAAACCACGTGTTGAAAAAAAAGACAGATAACATCATGCTTGCTTGTCGTTTTGGAGGGCTGGGCGTACTTTTTTGGGAGCCGGAATTCCTACCCCAGGCGATCCTGTGCTATGCTGGTTTTGCGTGGATCCATCTTAAAATTTTGGAATGATGGCTTCGTGCAATTTCAACATGTTACGGCACCTTTTACTCTATTGTAGAAACACACTGTATAAAAATATAAAGTCGAAAAGAAAAAACAAATGAATTGTCACCTCGAGGACAGAAAAATAAAACATCTTATCAAAGACATTGTACTGAAGAAGGCCACTCCTGTGACCGAACGTTTACAATAAAGACATTTTTTTCAACACCATGTGGTTTAGACTGACCAGAGATATTTGGGGGACTATCAGCATGAATACCACAATATAAGTTTCAGATATCACTTCTATCGATTGTAAAAGCTGTGGTAATAGGTATCTGGTAGGCAAACTGAACGAGGAGAAATTGCAGCAGCAATGTTTTCCGGCATATGCAATTTCAAGATTATTTTACAATTTTCGAATACGTATGTCTAAAGGTTTAAGGTTTCATAACACGAGTATGCTATCTATTTAAAAAAAAAGAATAGAATGTTCTATTTTCAATAAAAAGTATTTGATTCCGTTTCTATATTCAATGATCGAAATTTTCAACATAATAATATGAAAACGTGACAACAGTGTTCTTTGTCAGTGAGTTTGTTTTGGGTCGGTTTTGGGGTAAAATCTCGAATTTAGTTTTTATGCAGCAAGCGTGAATAATTAAGGTCAGTAGTCACCCTCATTATTTTATCTGAATAAAGTTGTTCGTATTTTATCGGCGGCTACATCGACATAACCTCGAATTGTACCGGCTGTTCTTGGAAGCAGCAGGAAAACGGTGACCTGTGTTGCCGTACCTACTTCACTTTCAATATTCCTATTAGCGAATATGCCTTGTGAAACTGTTCGTGAGAATCTACCATTAATTAAGGAAGACTTACATCATCCCTCATTAGCTATAGAATTTGAAATTAGTCTTAGATGTGCCTCTAATTTTGTCACACATATTACAAGCACAGCTTACAACTTTAAGAGAGCTAATTTCATAGGTCTCTACAATGCTTTCACTTATGTTGACTGGTCTTTTCTCGATAGTGTGGGGGATGTTGATCAAATGTGTAATTTATTCTATGATAAGCTGTATCACATATTTGATTTGTATGTCCCCAAGTATATTAACCGTAAGCACTATTATCCAAAACGCTATATCTCGGAAATAATTCGAAATATCAAATTAAAATGCAAACTACATAATCAATACAAGCGGCTTAAATAAAGTCTATGAGCAATTCTCGAGGGTCCGAGGACTTGTCAAACAACAAATAAAAGATGCTTACAATCAATATTTGCTGAATGTCGAAAATGATTTGATCCCAAATCCAAAGCTCTTTTGGTCATTTATTCATTCTAAGAAGGGTTCATCTAGAATACCTGGTCGGATGACTCTCCGGGATGAAAGTTTTGATACCCCACATACGGTTATAAATGCATTTGTTGATTATTTTCAAAGTGTTTATGTCCATAACAATTCACACCAGCAACATTATCTGGTTAGCCAGCATGATTGCTTTGATATCCTCAACTTTACGGATGAAATTATTTTAAAATCCCTGCTCAAACTACCAAATAAGTTGACCGCTGGGGAAGATAATGATACCAAGCTTTGTAGTTAGAGATTCATCCCACGTATTTGGAAAGCCTCTGAGGAAAATATTTAGTTGTGCCCTTTTCACAGCAACATTTCCTACGAAATGGAAATCGGCACTGTACTAAAAGCTGGTGATCCATGTAACATTGAACATTACCGAGCTATTTCCATATTGGACAATTTTGCGAAGGTTTTTGAGATATCAATATACGACTTCATTTACCCTCTAACTAAGCATCTGATATTGGAATCACAGCATGGATTCATGCGTAACCATTCAACCGTCTCTAACTTAATGGAACTTACTCAGGAAATAGCAGGTGTTTTGGATGATAAAGGATAGATGGATGTAGTCTATACTGATTTCTCAAAGGCCTTCGATAAGATTAGTCACAATAAGATTATTGGCAAGCTGTCATATTTCGGCACTGGCTTTCGTTTGCAGAAACTTTTCACTTCCTACTTAAGTGGAAGGACTCAATATGTCTCTTATAATGGTTTTAATTCTTTTGTTTATAATGTACCATCTGGGGTGCCCCAAGGGGCAAATCTTGGGCCTCTCTTGTTCCTTTATTTTATCAGCGATCTGATTGACTGTCTCACTTGTCCTAGCTTGCTATTTGCTGATGATCTAAAGATCTATCTACGAATAAATTTTGCTGCAGACTGCTCAATTTTGCAAAATAATCTCGATCGTCTCTCAGATTGGTGCAACAGTTATTTCTGAATGTCACAAAATGTGAAATTTGTTCATATACCCGTAAAATACGTCCGATAACTTTTGACTACAAACTGGAGCACGAGAGCTTAGTGAGATGCTCCAAGGTGAAAGATTTAGGTGTTTTGTTTGACGACAAATTAGAATTCACCTGTCATATTAATAACATAGTTTCGTCCGCTATGAAAACACTCGGGATCTTGATAAGAAACTGCAAATCTTACTATAGTGAAATTGCGCTGAAAGCGCTATACTGTGCGCTAGTTCGGTCAAAGCTGGAATATGCATCAAGTGTATGGAACCCTTGCTACCAAAATCGTATTAATTCAATTGAAGTCGTGCAGCGTGTTTTGAAGTACTTGACATTCAAATTGGATGGTATCTATCCAATGCGAGGCAGTGATCAAATGGCTATGCTGTTTAGATTCGAGATGCAGCCGCTTGAGTTAAGAAGAATTAATAACAGTTTAAGATTTCTTTATAAGCTCCTCCATAATCAAATTGACTCTCCGGCCTTGCTATCCAAACTCAGTTTTCATGTGCCATCTCGCGCTTCACGTAGATGTCCGGCTTTTTATTTGAATACGCCAAGATCAAATGTTTTGATCAGGTCTCCCATTTACTTTATGTGTTCCAACTTTCATGCAATTGCAGATAATTGTGGTATTCATTATGACAGTATCGTTGAGGTAACGACTAAACCCAATGAATATTACTATCAAGATACAACTTTTGATGTGCATACTTTAATGGTGGTATAAATGGTAGTCGTCCTTTTCTAAATATTTTTTTCTATTTTGTATTTACAATTATTTACATTTAAATATTTTTTATTTTTGTATGTTTTATGAATACTTTTGTTCTTTTTCACTTATATTGTCCTATAAATTCATATTATTATAATGTTACTCCTGAAACCTATGCTGAGGTCTTCATGTTCATAGGACTCCATTGTCTGGCAAAGTCAAAACCACTAATATTATATGTTTAGATTTCTGTATTATTTTACGACGTTTTCATGTACAAGTGACAATTACGATCACAGTGGTGGTCGAAACGTCGTACAATAAACTGAAATCAAAACATATATATATAATAATAAACCGTCTTTTATTAGAAAAAACAAATTACAGATAATGCATATACGTATTATTATCTATAATTATTAGATTAGTGAGCAGCTTAATGGCGAGGTTTAGCTATGACAGCTATTCTTACACTTAACCATTTACTGCATAAGAATAATAGATGGTAAAAAAGTACAGCTGTAAAAAAAACAAAAGGAGGAAAATGCCCATCTAACTGATCACAACCTAAACAAAAATTAGCTTAAAAATATAATGCTGGAGAAGAACACCTTTAAGAAGCACCATTGAGCAGAAGAGCTTTTAAGTGTTTTTTAAAACTATACAGCGGCAGGCTTTTTGTTCTATAATCTAAGCTATTGTACAACATGCATGCATTATATGAGAAGAACCTGTTAAAAATAGATGAACTATGAAGTGGCATTGTTAAAGCGAATGTGTTACGGATATGTCGTTGATGAACATTATACCTAAAAATTAGTTTTTCACGTAAACAAATTGGGGTTCCAAAGACAAGTAACTTATGTATAAAGGTTAGATAGTTGTATTTAACTAAATCTGTCATCTTTAACCAACCTATTAAAGGATAACGATCCGAAACATGATCAAATTTTCTTTAACTAAATATAAATCGTACGCAGTTATTTTGTATTACAGATATTCTGTTACGACTTGCAACATCCAAACAAGGATGATAAACTAGATTGCAATAATTAAAAATTTATATATGTAGTTTTGATTTGGCCAGACAAGCAAGTCCTATTAGTAGTAATAATTTTATGGTGTCAAATTTTCAGGCGAAGAACTTACCTACGAATTCAACTCGCGATATCAGAACGAAAAACAGTATGAGCGAGATAATGGTCAGCACCAAAAATAAAATGCCCACAAACAGACCTTTGTGAGCCCTGGCGCAGTCAACAGAATAGTGATGAGGACTACGCTTGTACTGGTTCAGTTCCGTCCTGAAAAAGATAGACATCTCAATATTTGGGAGATAAGCTGTAAGTTGCAATGTACCAATAATTCATATCCATTAAACTGAAGGATATGCTAAATATGTTAAAGTTAAGTTTTATTTTTATTTCATTTTATCGAAAACTGATTAAAAGAAAAAACGCCGAGATACGTCAAAAGATTTGTCAAGGAGGATAATTTTTCAACCAAAAACTACTTCACCGTCGGACCCACAGGGTCATTCCCAAATTTTAAATGAAAAGAGGTATCGAGTAATAGCTTGTTTGAAAGGTCTTTCAAAGTTCTTTATTTTGATATTTGATTTTTTAAAATCATACGTTTCGTTCTCGAGAAATTTAGAAAACTCTTTATTTATCTTAATTTATTTAGATAGAAAACAAAAACACACGAAAATATCACTATTTATTTCAATAAACGTTCAAAATGTTGCCTGTTAGGGTTTGCCAAATCTACAATTCGTCTATCATTTAAAATGGAAACTACCAACAGCAATTCGGAAGATAAGACGTGGCAAGAACCAAATAACCCGATTTTTTTTCGCATACTTTTCATCAACACAGATACCCTCTGAGACCTGTATTTAATGTTATACCTGTTTAGTTATTTGTTGCTAAGGGAAAGAAAGGATTTAACCCTTAACCGCCGTAGTGCGGTCACTGAGACCGCAGCTATTTATTTCTATATATCTTACCCCATTTCAATGTAATCAGGCAATATCCTCGCTACCTTCAAATGACCACGTGGTCAGTTTGTCACTATAAGTTGAATGTGGCACTTTTATCGGTTTACAATAGGAAAACGACAAAAGCTACAGAGCGGTCACACTATATCTATTGATATTTTTGTTTAGCCAGTGTTATTTCCTGTCAACTTTGTGGATTATTTTTGGCAGCACAGATCTTCAAGAATGAATCGGAATCCCAATAGGGATGATAGGATTTTGACAGCATTCTGCCATTATCTTAGTTGTCTATTTTCTGACAGCTGAGTTATTTTGTGTTCAGTAAGGCAGTTTGGAAGTCGTCTAAATATTCTATCAAAGTTCGTTAAGTTTTGTCGCTACTCAAAGAGCATATCGTGCTAAATATGGTCGTCATGGTGCACCGTTTCAGATCGATAAACGTCGCATAATTCAAAAACTGGAAAGTGAATATTCTTTGCACGATAGTAGACCACCAACTAGAATGCGATCTGACCGTAGTTACTTGACATTTGTGGTGTAAATGCACGCACATGTTCTTCATCAGTCGTTCAAAAATAGCACAAAGATCGAAAAAGCAAACTCTAAAAATTGTTGCTGATCAGTTGGTAAGACCCCATCTTATTAAGCGTGCAGAAAATACAAAACTAAAGCGTGACATTCAGACTACAATTCGTAGAATTCTATCATTCCCTGACCGTGCTGAAGAGGATGTTCCGGAAGAAAAATTATAAAAAAAGAAAAACATGTCGCACTTGTCCACCAAGAATTAAAACAAAAACTTTTTCTTCATGTAAAATGTGCCTTAAGCCTACTTGTTTGGATCATTGTCACTTGTCAAAATTTCAAACACAATCTTTGACTTCTTCACCCCTTGTTTTTTTTATTCCTTTCAAGTTATCTCTCAAACTAAGTTATGTCTCAGTGGACTGTTTATTCATATTTTAGAATCTGTTACTAATTCCGCATAGAATATTGTGTTTTGTTTTATAGCTAAGATAAGAAATTTGTTAAAAATATGTCGAAATGAATGATGTTCGATGTTTTTATTTTTTTTTAAATGAAGTATGGTAAAAACTATATGTTGTGTGTTAATTCAGGTCTCATTCTACTCTGCCTGAATATTTACAACACGCCAAATATTTTATCTTTTATAATTGAGATTGTTAGTAATATGCGGTCACTGAGACCGCACTACGTTAATGACGTTACACTTTCTGCACTACGGTAGTTAGGGGTTAATTTGCTGTCTGTTACCTTTGTGACAATCTTCCAAAAGTGAAAATTAATTTATTGATTCACATTTTACTTCCAAAATGGTTTAAACACTATCCGAAGGAGTGAAAATGATTCTAATTTATGGTGCCCAAAATCAATGTGCCCGGCAAACTGCCGTCAGGTTTAACGACAGGCATTCGGGGAAGATAATTTCGCATAGTTATGTTTTGGACCTTTTTACTAAATTTACTCAAACTGGATCTGTTGTAAATAAAACACATGATCATCAGAGAGATTTGGATGAAGCCGCTCAAGTTGAAGTTTTTGGTCATTTTGGAATAAATCTTAATACTTCATTAAATTGTTGCTGCGACAGGTATTTCATTAGGCTCTATACACACAGTTACTAAATTCCATAAATTTCATACATTAAAAATGAAAATATTGCAAGATTTAACCGAAGATGACTGCAGCGATTAAAGATAATAACATTCATGTCAAGAATATCTGCACCAGTGATGAATGCACATTTTATCTAAATAAAATAAGCATAACTGCTGGTATTGGAGCAATGAAAATCCTCATGCTTTTGTAGAAAGGCATACCCAGTACCCCCAAAAAATTAATCTATGGGCACGCATTTTAAGAAACAAAGTAATTGGGCCATTGTTTATTGATGGAAATTTGAATGGGGACATTTATTTGGATATGTTGGAAAATACCTTCAATCGCTTATCACTTAAACCATTGAAAACCAAATCAAAGAGGATGGAAACCCTATACTTGATGAGACTGAAATATATTTCCAGCAAGACTGATCTCCTCCTTACAATGTTCGTCCGATTCGGCAATGGCCAGACGACGAGTTTCCAGATAAGTGGATAGGGCTAGATCTCCCGATTTGACGCCATTAGACTTTTTCCTATGGGGATATTTGGAATCTACTGTGTTTACTCCCCAGCCTGAAAGTTTGGATGAACTTCATCAACGCATCATCGAAAGCTGCAGTGATATCAAACCACATGTTTTTGAAAATATCCGGCAGGAAGCATGGGATAGCGCGAAGCCGTCTATCGCACCAGAATCGAACCATTGTAGATCGCGCACCGCTGCTATTAGTCGGAACCGTTGCAGATTCCCGTTTAAAAGCCGTGCCGCAAAATGGCTGATGATTCTGGCAGAATGCAGAGTGGTGTGCTAGCCATCTACAATGGTTCGATTCTGGTACGATAGACGGCGCTTCGCGATGTATCATGCTGATAAACCGTACCTCCGGTATACCGGATCAACGTAATGCTTCCGTTTGTTAGACCAGAGATAAGAGACCAAGCCTATACCACGCTGATGAGTAGCCAAGAAGCATGAAACAGCTGTCTTATTTTCTTGGTCGGACGGACGCAGGCATCATTTGTTTTGATCCGTCAGGAATTTGAACATCGCCTATATCATTGTTTTTCCAATAACGGGAAACATTTTGTACACTTACTGCAATAAAAAGTTATATTTTTGTGTGTTTTGGTTTCCTATCTGAACCAATTAAGATAAACAAATTTTTTTTTAATTTTCTTGAACGAATCGACCAATTTCAAAAAATCAAAGGTCAAAATAAAGGACTTTGAAAGACCTTTCAAATAAGCTATTACTCGATACCCCTTGCCATTTAAAATTTTTAAATGGGATGACCCTGGTGGGGCAGAGGGTGAAAGGAGGTGAAGTGGTTTTTGATAAAAAAGTTTTCACCCTTGACAAATGCTTTTGAGGTATCTCGACGTTTTTTCTTTTAATATGGTTTTCGATAAATCCGTGATGAGAAGTTTTCAAATGAACACGCGCATCTGCGTTCAACTCTCTTTTACCAACTACGTACTATAGGCTGATAAATTTTATATATTTGTTGAAAATTTATTTAACATTATTGGTATAATGTCAATTTTGTATAATTATTCATGTACACATTTTTTTAATTTATATATATATATATATAGATAGGTGACTTCGAAGTTGAGTCATTTATTTTAACAGTGAGTAGATCTGATCAAAAGAAATGTTTTTTTCCTTTACCATTTTTCTGGTAAAATTAAAGTAACAAAGTTATAGCCCTTTGGAAGTTTGAGTACCGCCCTGTCTCAATAATAATATTATGTGCTCGTGTTTGGCGACAACGGATATAATTCGCCTTATCGGTTCATCGCATCGGAAACGAAAAAGCGAAAGAATTTGGAACGATGTTTTTACAATTATTTCATTCAGTTGTATACAGTCAGTGTCAGTCGGTAGTGGATAGTGGTGTCTGTTGCGTGGCTCAAACAAAATAAAAAATGGCACATGTTTATGCGGATCGGTTTCCCAATCGAGTGCAACCAACCCCTCGTGCAACCAACCCCTCGTGCCTTTGTTAATGTAGTACAACGGGTTCGTGAATCATTTGACTTAAGACCTCACATATGGACGGCATGCCGGTGCTCCAAGACCTCACGATCAAATACAGGTCCGCACTGAAATACTTGTCGGGACGATACTTTATAAAACAAGGTATTTTTTTTTTATTTTTTTTTTATTTTTACACACATATTTTGGTTTATCTTCCTTCTACAATCATTATCTGAAAATTAATGACTCAACTTCAAAGTCACCCTGTATATATATATACAGGGTGTCCGCAAAGTTGGGGTTTTCCTTTACACGACGTGTAGATCTTGAAAACATAAGCAATTTTTCTTAGTACCATATACACCAATGTCTTAAGGGAACCGAGATAAAGGGCTCTGCAACATCAAAAATATCTGAATACCGTCCTGTAGCCACGATCCGGGACATCACCGATTGGTACAAGGTCTCAACCCGACGGCAGAACTGGGTCGGGGTCAGTGTGCCAGGTTAGTATGCAACCTTCAACCGACGGTTACGGTCACGCGTGTAGAGGTAAACGAACCCGTATAATCGATTGCGTTTCAAAAAACAACAAGTGTGGCAACCTGACGATTTTCCAGCAAGAGTGCGGTTTTGTGAGTGGTTGTTGCATCAACATGACAATAATCCGGACTTTTTGAAGTGCATATTGGTGACAGACGAATCTACGTTCACGCGTAATGGGGTGAATAACTTTCGCAACACTCATATTTGGTCAGTAGAAAATCCGCACGCCGTCCGTCGGGCACACTTTCAACAAACATTTTCGGTGAATGTTTGGGCTGGTATGGTGAATGGTATGCTCATTGGACCATTTATTCTCCCAAATCGATTGGACGGGATGCAATACCTAGACTTTTCACGCAACATTTTGCCTTCCTTGTTAGAAGATGTGCCATTAAGTGTAAGACAATCAATGTGGTTTCTGCGTCTGCTCGGTAGCGCTTCAGCTGATTTCATTTTCTGTTGGAGCGGTATGATTTCGGGCAAAGACGTACTTAGCCCTTCTCGTCAACTGGAGAGTGAGTACTTTTTCCTTTATTTTTTTTTTTACTTGGTCGCCCTCGTTTCACTACACATTACCTTTGTTATTTCAAGGGTAGTTGTTTCTGAAAAGGAAAACCCCAACTTTGCGGACACCCTGTGTATATATATATATATAATTTTAATAATAATATTACATTCTCGTCTATCAAAATTACATCACTATGCATTTTGAGTATTCGTAAAGTGATATTTTTAATTCACCTAACACCATTTCACCAACATTTTTAAATTCGAACATTGTTTATTATCTTTATTCAATTTATTAATTTCAAATACTCTCTTTTGAAATTCAGATTTGCTAGTTATGCTACTACGAGATTAAAATTTTGTAGTTGAAAATCTAGACTGCCTCTAGTTTCGTAGTTATGATAATGACTATTTAATTTTGTGATGTGTTCTAAATGCGTGGTTCACAAAAATTTTCTTGGGAAAGTTTTTGTTATATCATCAGACATATACCTATCGTTTCATTTTGCACCTTATCTTTTATTTTTGTATTCTAAGCTATTAGTTTTTTTAGGAGACCAGGTGGTGACTGAGACATAGCAATGGAAAAGTAATACATTCCTTTTTTAAGAGGACCAATTGGTAAAATATTTAAATTTTTGAGCTAAAGGCAAATCATTCCAAATATTATTAACAGAAACATATTTATTATAGTCCTTTTCTTGTTTCTCTGTTTGTCTGGACCAAGCTACACAACTTGCTTCAATTGTATCTAGGTACTAGCCAGACATTCGGTGCATTCTGGTAAAATTTCTTAATATTCTGACATTAACCGCTCTTATTTCTCAGACACAACGTTAAATATCCCTTCAGGTCAAATTTTGTTATCGTTTATCTTTTTTTTTGAGATTACACAGACTTATAGACCAATCGTAAAAATCCTGTCAACATTTTCGCTTACCTTGGCTTTCCTTGTCCGCCAACTGGCAACTTTGATATACTCTTCCACATCACATACAAAATAGCAGCGCAGATGAGGCTGTATTCTATGGTGCACGGAAAAAGGAACGGCGAGGCATCTTGAACCAGAGAACCAATGATATTCGTTCTTCTGCATTCGTACAGATGATGAGGTCCTTTCAGACCACGCGCCACTATGTGGTGGTGATGGGGACCATGAGCTTCAGCGGGATGATCTGCTGTGACCTCTGGAAGACCTACAAAAGAAATAGTGTAGTCAGTACTTTCAGGCCAAAAAAACGAGGGATGTCTTTTAAGTTTTGCATATAGAAACATAGTAGGCCGCACGGATCGAACGTCAGTACTAAATCTTAACCTCAGTCTTTAGTAAACTTAAATTCAAAGTTTCACAACAATACAGTGTTCTCACTACAGTGAATTTTTAAGTGTCACCAAGTCATTAGAAAAATGGAACTCAACCGAGAACATTTTCGCGCCATAATTTATTACAACTTTCAGAGACAATTATCGCAACAAGGATGCCTTGCTGAGTTGCTGTCTGTTTTCGGCAACGAAAGCGCCACATCAGTCGACAATTTCTCAAAGACCTCAATTCAAAAAATTTTACATGAAGAATTAGGAGTAAGAAAATTCGTTTTTCGTTGGATACCCGACCTGTTGACTGAAGGCAGAAAGCAGCCAGGGTTAATTGGTGTCAAAAAACGCTTGACCGTTTCAATTCCGGAAACTCAAAAAATCTGTACAGCATTGTTAGTGGTGATGAATCGTGGATTTACTGTTACGAACCAGAAAATAAACGACAGTCGGCTGTTTGGGTGTTCCAACGTGAAGAAAAGCCAACAAAAGTCATCCGTTCTCGAATGTTCCCCTTAATGAGCAGATAACTGTTACTGCGGATTGGTATACCACCATTTGTTTGCCAGAAGTCATCACCGAGCTTCGACAAATCAACCCCGAAAGAAGAATCATCCTACAACCAAGACAATGCAAGCTCGCACACAGCCCAAAAAACAAGGCAGTATTTAACGGAAGAAAACGTGGAATTATTGGACCATCCTCCATATAGTCCCGATCTAAGTCCTAACCATTTCTTTACTTTCCCGAAAATTAAAAACAGACTGCGTGGTCAAAGGTTCCAGTCACTAGAAGAAGCAGTTAACGCATTCAAAAATGCCGTTTTGGATCTGCCAGCAAACGAGTGGAATAAGTGCTTCAAAAATTGGTTTGAGCGCATGCAGATGTGTATTAATCTTCGTGGAGAATACTTCGAAAGACAATAAAGTCATTTAAAGCTACCTACCGTGTTGTTTTATTTCCATATGCAAAACTTAAAGGAATTGTTTCACTTCTGTACGGGGTGCCCCATATATATATATTTTTTAACTAAACCGAACATCCTATATTTTATTGCGTATTTGAATATAGCTTCAAAGAACAAGAAGTTTGATTTCATATAACGTATGGTTTTGATTGTCAGTTGTTTAGATATTTGATCAAACGTCAGAAAAAAATGCCCAGTTTTGACGGCTCCGCTATTTTTGGAGATATTTAGATAAATCTTAGTTCACAAACATTTTATTATTCTCGATTATAAGCCGATTTGGAAAAATTTGCTAAATTTCGTGTTATTTATACAGGGTATCTCAAAACGTACCTTTTCTAAAAAATTTCAAATAAAACACCCTTTATATAAAAAAATAAAATCCGTTCTATTGTCAGAGAAAATTAATGTAACAATTGAAGAATGCAATTTAGCAATAAATACCTAGTTGCTCTGGAATATGTCACTGGCTTTTGACATCTCACAAGTCTATGTTATTCAGATCTGTTCGCTGTGACATCATTTTCATTATTTAGTTTTTAAAATCTTAATAATGGTGAATTATTCAAATGCGGAAATGGCGGAAATGCATGATGTATATGGCCTTGCCAACGGTAATGGTGAGCAAGCCAGACGAATTTATCACCAGAGACATCCCGATCGTGCTTTGTCAGATAGTCGAACCTTTTCTAATATTCATCGTCGTCTTGTTGAAACTGGTTCTGTCCGAAAAGGAACATCTGAAGGTAGACCTCTAAGCATGAGAACACCTGAAATTGAGGAAGCAGTGCTGCACGAAGTCGAAGAACATCCTGAAACGAGTACGAGGAAGATCGCTAGACACTTAAATATTTGCCATCAAATTGTTTGGAGAATTTTAGTGGATTTTTTGTTATATCCTTACCATATTTAAAGAGTACAGGCATTACTTCCCATTGGTTTTCCAAGGCGTGTGACCTTTTGTCAGTGGTATCTTCAAAAAATTACACAAAATCTGCAATTTGAATCAATGATTCTGTTCACGGACGAAGCTAATCTTTCTCGAAATGCCATTCAGAATTTCCACAATAATCATTTGTGGGCAGAAGAAAATCCCTATGTCGTAACCGAAACCCATTTCCAACACCAATTTTCGGTTAATGTATGGGCAGGAATTATTGGCAACCACTTTGTTGGCCCATTCTTCTTGCCGGGACGACTTGACGGACAGACTTACCTCAAGTTTTTTCAACAACAGTTGCCTTTGCTGCTTGATGATGTTCCGTTAGTAATAAGAAACAATATGTGGTACATGCAAGATGGTTCACCAGCGCATTTCAGTGTGTGTAGCGGTTCGTAACTATTTACAAACTGTTTATCCAAATCGTTGGATTGGCCGCGGTAGGCCCCAAGAATGACCACCAAGGTCTCCAGACCTCAATAATTTAGAGTTCTTTTTGTGGGGCTATCTTAAGATACTAGTGTACACAAGTCCCATTAACACTGTAGAGGAATTAAGAGAAAGAATAGTTACAGCTTGTGATAGAATAAGAAACACTCCAGGAATATTTCAACGAGTGCGCAATTCCATGAGAAGGAGGGCGGAAGCATGCATACCAAGTGAAGCATTTTCAACAATTTTTGTAATCATTTCGTTGGTTTCAATGTTATGTTTATGTTGTAAGTTGTTGTTATTCATTACCCCTGATGTGTTTAATTGTTCCAATTAAATTAATAATAATTTTGCGAGTTAGACAATAGAACAGTTTTTACTTTTTTACTCAAAAATGAAGCATCGAAAGAAAACAATTAAAGAAAGATCATTTGTTTTAAATTGAACGGGGAATTCAAAAATAATTTTTTTTAAAAATTATTTTTGCATTGAAAAATATGCAACATTATTAACTTTCACTACGTACTAAATATCAGTAACATATCTGGAGCGGTACTGGAAATATTAATTAATTTCCATTTCTTTCCTAAAACTTCAACACCAGGTGTTTTTGTAATTTTGTAATTTTTCATATAGATTCATAACTTTAAATATTCCCTGTATATAAGAATAATTTTTAAATATGCACTAGTATCATATCAAGGTTCCCACGAAAACAGATTTATGATATCTTTTCCAGTTTGCTCATAAAACTACTTTACAATTATTGTTGTGACACCCTGTATAATGTATATTTGATGCAGAATAGGTTTTGAGCAGAATAAGAGTTCTATCCGACCAAAGACTACCACGAAGGCCTAAGGCCTAAACACCCATGGTGTACCGTGGGGCTATAGGGGGATACAGGGGAAAGGGGGAACGCCACACGGACTCTGGCGAGGGACACGTGTGCATGCAACATGCACACATTCTGGCCCCGCCTACGAGATCCGCCGGGTGGTACCTCTGCGTTCGACAGTCAGAGACCGTCTACCACCTACGGACAATCACAACATCCATAGTCAAGAGAAAACCACCGTTGCTGCCTGTTTGGTTACTCCTTAGCATGATTCAAACTTGTGTCTCTCGGAGTGATTTTTGGTCAATGACTAATTTTGTCAATGTCAAACAAGAGTGAATTTTGTCAAGAAATAGACGAGGTTATTCCAAAAATGCGGTTTTATAAAAGTTAGCAACTCTAGAAGAGTTATTTCCAGTAAACACTATCATGTGTGTCCCTAATTTTTTCAAAATTTCGTTGACTCACACAATATTATTCAGAAGATAAACAAGAAAAATGACCCTTCAAGCATTCATAATGTTTAGATCACAATAACCAATCTTACCTAAAACCCTCGCCTTGAAGGGTATCCTATGAGCTATCCTCAGCGAGTTATTCTCGGGATTGTAGAAGGTAAGTATCTCATGCTTGGTCTCCTGAACCAGCACGTTGAGCCAGACGCTGAGATTGGTGCCGATCATGTGCATCAAGCCAAACCTGGCCGCGACTTTGTGCTTGTAGACGCGCATCTGTTCGTTGTTGAGAAAGATGAAGTACATCTGGATGAAGATGAATGCCATACGGGTTGCTGGTGTCAGAGCAAGCAGGACGTTGTGGCACTTGGTGTTCAACTCCAGCTCGAAGTATTGTCCGAACTCCAGGCCGGAGTAGATCATGCTACCGATGCCGAATGCTGCAACAAACGAGCAAACGTTACAGAGTATTTTTTTATATTTTAGCAGCTGCGAAGGCAAGGATTAAAGACTGGAATTTCATATTCTTGATATCCCAGGAAATATGTGAACCAAAAGCTTGTACAGTTGATTTTTAGGAAGTGGTGTCGTCAGTATACAGGGTGTTTCAGTTTATTGTTGCATAACTTTAAGATTCGATAGAACTTTTAAAATTAATGCATAAAGTCTATATAAACATGGGTCGAAGAATGCGTGGCTTCCGAAATACAGCGTGTTTAAATTTACTTTCTAAAATAGTTTTTTTTTTAAATATTTCGAACAATATTTGATGTATAATAGTGAAAATTGGTATACAAGGGTTTTTTTGGTATGACAAAACGAACCATGGGCATAGTTTTACTATAGCCGCTAGAGGGCGCTCTCTACTGTACCTGTAGTGTATTAAAATGACCGAAAATTTTTTCTTAGTGCAATTTTTTGCTTTTTGAATGAAAAAACTGATTCTTCGCACTTTTCAACATAAAAAAGCTCTCCTGTGAGTTTTCGTTATAGTTAGCCTTTTTTGAGATACTTCGATTTTTAAGGTTCGATGCATTTTTAATTATTTATGGGAAAATAATATTTTTTTACATTTTCGATTTGGGCACTACAAGTAATTAAGATGATCGTTTAGATTGTGTTTTTAAACACAGCAATAATTCCTAACTCCAAATAAACACAAAAAAAACAGAATATTAATATGTTTAATTTTCCAATATTATTTTTAACAAATTAAATTATTTATTTACAACTGAAATGCTATTGGATAGTTAGGACAAACATACAAAATCTAAAGTAGTTGCTCGAAATGTAAACCCAATTGTTCAATACACAATTCACATCTACGAATGTATCGAACGTGGTATAGCATTATTCAAATAAGGCCTTATTTCATCACATGCATTCCTGATTCTGTCTATTAGCATATCTCTTGTGGTTACGGGAGTCTGGTAAAATTTTTCTTTTAGAAATCCCCACACAAAGAAATCTAATGGATTAAGGTCAGGGGATCGTGGAGGCCAGGCGACTGGTCCTCCACGGCCGATCCATCTTTCTGGATAATTTACGTCCAGCCACTTTCTAACTATTCTCGAATAATGAGCTGGACAACCATCAAGCTGGAACCAGGCCAATCTTATTAAATCTAACATAACATCATCCCACATATTTGCATGTTCAGCCTTTAAAAATTCCAAGAAGGTCGCAGCATTTAACCTTGCAGGCAAAAGGTAGGGTCCAAATAGTCTAATAGTCAGTTCTATCAAGAATCCACTGACAAAATTTGATTAATTCGTTCTCTGTCCCCTAGCTGTAGTCCTTGCACAGGTTGCAAATGGTAAGGACGTCTACGGTCATTTCTAAGAACACGGTGTACATGGCTTGCTGAAATTCCCAAGGCACCAGAAACTCTCCTAACACTTGTGGTCGGATCTCTATCAAACTCACGCAGAATCATACGGGTAAATCTGCGCTGACGAACATTTATGTTTTGATCCCTTGGGAGATTTCCAAAACCATTTTCAATTATTTGGCGATGCACTCTTACAAATACTGAGCGAGTTGGATGATGTCTGTTTGGAAATCTTCGTGCGTATTCTCTGGCTGCTTCTGCTGCGTTTCCATTTAAAAAGCCATACACAAAATGAGTATCCGCTAACTCTTGATTGGAGAATAAAAATGGCATTTTTATAGAACTTACAAAAAAAACAGGTAAAAGAAACTAAATTTCGTGCATTCACAATTGCAAAAAACGTTTCAGGTTTCAACAGACAACAAAACTAACTGTCAACTAATTGACGTTTAACCTCATTCTGCTTTCAATTTCAAAAATATTTGCAGGCACAGCCTACTTCTAAAAATTATGGGATACTGACTTTTTAACGTTATTTTATCATAAATAATTAAAAATGCATCGAACCTTAAAAATCGAAATATCTCAAAAACGGCTAACTATAACGAAAATTCACAAGAGAGCTTTTTTATGTTGAAAAGTGCGAAGAATCAGTTTTTTTATTCAAAAAGCAAAAAATTGCACTAAGAAAAAATTTTCGGTCATTTTAATACACTACAGGTACAGTAGAGACCGCCCTCTAGCGGCTACAGTAAAACCATGGTTCGTTTTGTCGTGCCAAAAAACTCTTGTATACCAATTTTCACTGTTATACATCAAATATTGTTCGAAATATTTAAAAAAACTATTTTAGAAAGTAAATTTAAATACCCTGTATTTCGGAAGCCACGCATTTTTCGACCCATATTTATATAGACTTTATGCATTAATTTTGAAAGTTCTATCGACTCTTAAAGTTATGCAACAATAAACTGAAACAGCCTGTATACCGTAAAAACTACCAAATGTTTGGTTGTCTGTTAAAGCATACTTAGTGGACTGCTCCCCTCTGAAATACCATAGTTGGGATCCAGAAATAAAATGAGAACAGTACTCGTATTTCAAACCAGTAGTTTTCAACTTTTCATACGTTGGATATAAAAAATAAGCCAGGTTTTTTGAAGAGATCGTTATGCGATCGTCGACCTTGAAAGGTTCTATTAGGTCAATTTCAGAGACTGATGTCGCATCGTCTAAGGCCCGTATCGTCAGTCGTCCCTACAATTGTATGGCGCCTTTATGGCCTCCTTGATTGTCATAGTTTTCTACTTCTCCGTGTCAGCGCTCTATTTTGAGGTTATGTCACAAAAGTCTATTTGCATCAAATTGTGCTTGCTTTTGAGTTATATCATGTTTTATCAGCCTGCAATTTCCTACAATTTAAAAAGAAAACATATCTTTACAATAGGAGAGCGCTGACGCTGACACGGGACAATGGTAATCTAGAAGTTTTTGAAGGAGAGGAAGGAGTAGGACAATCAAGGAGGCCATAAACGCGCCCTACAATTGTAGGGACGACTGACGATACGGGCCTAAGAAATTGAAGAATAAACTGATCATAGGGCCTGATCAGATACCTAGTTTTCTAGTTAAAGATTGCATTATGCCGTTGTTACAACCCTTAGTTTACATTTATAACCTAAGTCTGAAGTCTAACTCGTTTCCTGAGGCTTGGAAACTAGCTAGAATTACTACGATATTGAAAACAGGTGACCCAGCGCAAATTAATAACTGTAGGCCTATTTCAGAGTCTTGTAATTTTGCAAAATTATTTGAAATAATACTTTACACGTTTATTTTTGCCGCAACGAAAGAGTCATTATCTATCGATCAGCATGGCTTTGTCGATAAGAAATCATGTATCACTAATCTGGCTTGCTTGTCACAACCATTTGCGAAACCTTGGATGACAGAAGCCAGGTTGATGTCATTTATATGAAAAAGGCATTTGATAGAGTAGATTTAGGTATCCTATTGAAAAAACTGAGTATTTTTGGGTTCTCTCAAGATCTTTTGTCGTTGTTTAACTCGTATCTTTTTAACAGGAATCAATATGTTGATTATAAAGGATATCGTTCACCACTTGTAAAGCCTACTTCAGGAATCCCCAAGGCTCGAATCTAGGACCCTTACTATTTATCTTATACATAAACGATCTAACTATTGACTTGCACTGTTCAAAGTTATTATATGCAGATGACCTTAAAATATACAACTATGTCAATACTATCGATGACTGCCTTGTCTTGCAGCAAGATATTATCACAGTGTCTTCATGGTGACATGCCAATTATCTTAACTTAAATGCGGACAAGTGCCTTGTTGTGTCTTTCACAAGGAAATTAAGCATCTTGACTTAGGAATCATATTTGATCAAATAATGTCTTTTTCAACTCATATCGACACGACTGTTTGGTCGGCTAATAGGATGTTTGGATTTATCATGAGGAACGCTAGAGAATTTTCTATTTCAGTACTAAATATTCTATATATAAGTTATGTACGTAGCAATTTGGAGTATGGTATCTTGATTTGGTACCCACATTTCGCAACACACATTAGTAAGATAGAACGTGTTCAGAGAAATTTTTTGAAATATATGCATTTTAAGAAAACTGGTTTATTCCCGGAATGAGGATTTGATTACTCTTTGCTGCCTAAAAAAGCAAACTTTATTTCTCTTAACACACGACGTATCTTTCTAACAACGAGTTTCTTGTACAAACTCATTCATGGGGACATAATATGTGAATTTTTGTTAGGAAAATTCCATTTACCGTACCCAGACGCAACACCAGAAATTCTAGAGTATTTTAGTGTGAATGCCCTAGAACCAACATTTTAGCTAAGTCGCCTGTTTCGATAATTTGTAACAATTTTAATTTAATATGTAACAGCTGTGACATCAATTTTTCCCCTATCTCGCTAGTTTATAGTTCTATTTTACAGATCACATTTAATATGTAACTTTTTCGAAATATCTTTTTTATATTATTCAAGTGTTTATTTTTATATAACATTAGTTATATTTTTTCTTTTCATAAAACGAAATGTTCATTTGATTTTACGCATTTCCTGTTATTGGGTGCACATGTACCTGTTGGAAATAAATGTCTCTCTATCTATCTATCTACCATTAACTTCTTTGAATGCTAACTGCATAATATTCCTATGTCGTACCCACGAAGTGATAATTTACAAGTCTTTCATCAGGCACGAGGTCTTACTTAGTTTTCGATTTAACGTGTTGGAAAGGAGGTGAGTAATATGGAGAAGAACCAATGCAGATCCCTGCGGAACATCCACGCTTGCATTGTGTAAAGAGAAGAACACACAATCGGCTATAAGTGGTATCTTATGACTTCTCTAAAAGACTGGATGGATGATTTTTCAGGGACTTCATTCCACAACCTGATCTAAAACCTTGTTAACATCAAGAGTATCTTCAAACGGATCTAAGGTAACCGTGAGATAAGTTTGGAGGTCCCTATATGTACTGTCTGTCTTCAAGAGGTAGTGTTCGAGGTGTTTTAGAGGTATTGCATCATTTCTCTAGTATGTCTTGAATTATCCTGCCCACAAATCTTACTTATTTTCCAACTGTCTCTAGTATAGATCTCATTATGTATAATAATTTTGCGAAATAAATGACTTTGACTTTGATTTCCCCATTATCTTGTTACTGTTGTTACTTGGAACGATCTTTCCCCCTATTTTCCACGGACTTGTTATGACATCTAGATCACAAAAAACCATGTCACTTATTTCCGTCGGTCGGTCCGCCTGTCCTTTAATCTTTGAACCATCTATAACTTGGAAAGTACTGCTCGGATTTTAATAAAATTTTCAAACAAAGTTAGTAGTAAATATAACTTAAATGATCCTAAGCGGCTTTGGACAGCTATTGATGAGATTACTGGGAAAACAAAATTTAAAGAGTGTGTCACTGAGTTAAATACAACATCGGGAACAGTATTAAAAAATAGTCAACAAATATGCGATGAATTTGTACAATTTTTTACTGACATAGGCGAAAATTTAGCAAGTAATATACAAGCAAATGTACAAAATACTCAGCCTCCAAAATGATCTTTGAACTCATTTATTTTGGATAAAGTCAAGCAATGTGAAGTATACACCACTGTTATGTCCATAAAAAATCGAAAAAGTCCTGGGTTCGATGGTATTAAAAGCGAGCATTTGAAAATTATAGCCGAGGACATAACAGAACCACTCACTTACCTAATCAACAAATGTTTTGAATCTAGCATACATCCCTCAATTTTAAAAAAGGTAATATAATACCGATACATAAATCAGGAACAAAAACAGATGTTAACAACTATAGACCAATATCAATAATATCCAGTGTAGCAAAGGTTTTTGAAAAAGTTTTATCTACTAGAATGATTCGATACCTCGCAAAATTCAATATTTTAACTGAAAATCAATATGGATTTACAGAAGGGAAGGTTACATCGGACGCAATAACTAAAATTCTAAATCAAATACATCAAAATATTGATAACAGAATCCCTTCAATCTGCACTTTTGTTGATTTAAAGAAAACTTTCGACACAGTTAATCACAAATTATTATTAGAAGCATTGGAGAGAATTGGTTTCAGAGGAAACGCGTACTCACTGATCGAAAATTATTTGTCAAATCGCCCACAATCTGTGCAGATATCAGGATCGTTTAGTAAAGAAATGTATATTAAGTGTGGTGTCCCACAAGGAACTGTCTTAGGTCCGCTGTTATTCAATATATATTTAAATGATATTTTCCAAATTAATTGTGTTAAATAACCAGTTTTGCAGATGATACTGCATTATTATATGAAGGCACTGACTGGTCTGATCTGAAAAATGTAATTGAAAATGATTTTATCAAAATTATTCGGTGGTTTAACAGCATAAAATTAAGCATTAACTATTCTAAAACACATGTCTTACCATTTGGATCTTATGCTAGACATCTGCCAAACTACATAAATTTCTCCTTCAACATTAACGGTCAAAAAATGCAAATTAATAGAGTGCCCAACATAAAATACCTTGGAGTGGTCTTGGACATATGGTATATTAGCATGGGGAGCTGCATGTTCCTCACATATCTATAATTTAGATGTTTTTCAAAAAAGTATTCTAAAAGTGGTATTTAAAAAACCGAAACTTTATCCCACTGACAAATTATACGCAGATGTTCGAATGTATGATATAAGACAGCTTTCTTTCTTACACAGTATCACTCACTACCATAAATTTGTAAACACCGACCAAAATATTAAACATAATCATTATACCAGGTACAAAATTCGTGGCACAGTAGTTCCTCAGCCGCATAAATCTATAATTCAGCGATCATATCTCTATTGAGCGTCTAAATTTTATGAAATTATACCTAAAGACTTAAAAGATTTACGTTTTAGAAATTGTTTCAAAAGAAATTTAAAAAAGTGGCTACATTCTATATCTAGGACTGAAATTCATAAACTCATAAATACGAACATCAAGTAAATACATAATCTACTGTAGCTAATTTTTGTCCTTTTTTGTCATTTGCATTCTACAGTTGCAACTTAAAATTATTGGTCCATGTACAGGCGATGCCTTCTATTGGGCCTGTTTTGATTTTATATTTATTTAATCATATTGTTTGTTATATTTGTACATTGAGTGAAGAAATATTATTATTATTAGTATGTGAAGGAAGGAAAAGTTTTGTAGTTTTTGAAAGTCGGTGCAGTGGTGGCGCAGCTACGGACAAAAAACGGAAAAGGAAATAAAAACTTTATTTTTCACTTCATTTTTGGCGTTTCAGAGGCTCTTATCCATTTTTGATACTATTTGTGGGGAGAAATGGAGGTTTGAGTGTTTTAGGGGGTGAAGTGTATCTTAATTTTTTATGATATTTTACTTAGACCTACCTAGACTTTACCATATATTTGGTACCAATATTTCGTCGCTTCAATGCATTTGATATATGCGGCACAGCTTTATGTAAAACACAGTCGAAGTTTTTATAGTCATTTTTTGGGCAGTCATTATTCGTATTTCTTGAACATATTTTGCATAACAAGTTATTTCTGTTCTCGCCTGTGACTTCTCTCGTCTAGGGGAGTAACGCTTTGTGTTGTGTATTTATGTAAAATAAACACTCCCATACAAAAAATTTAGACCCGAGACTTTTTTGTGGAAAACACACATTTGGCCCTCGTCCTAAGAGAACAAGTAAACTTCTACCCGCAGTTGTATATATCGGTAAACAAAAGACGTGAAACATCTGTTTGTTCTGTCTTTAGCTTGAAACAGTGACATTTTTCAGATTACCTTGTTAATTCCAAAACACTAAAAAAGAATCCCCTAGATTGGTGGAAGCATGACATTTGTACGAAAAGAATTTGATTGCAGTGACAAAATGTGAAGCTCATGATAGACAGCCAATCAAAAAACCTATGAAGACAAAACGTTGTGTAGCAGACTAACAAAATAATAAATGTGGACAGTAATTACAGTTAATGCATGGTGACAGGTTAATAAAAAATGAATCCATGAATTTCCGTTATGCACATATCATTATTTATACATCCTGTTTATTGAAAAACGTACATTCGACTCATTCTACTGTACGTCTTTGGAAGTTACCTTTTTATAACAAATTTGCTGCACAATAGGTGCTAATCTACTAATCAAAATGATACTTACCGACAGCACCCATTCTCAAATAGAAGCTTCCATAATGATTGTGTTTGTGAGTGCTGAACGAAACTTTTCTGGATCTGTACGGTTGAGAACTACTTTCCACGCTTGTGGTGTCGTTTGAATCGTTGTCCGATTCTTCATCTGACATGCTTTCATCTTTTTCGTTCTCTTCAGCTGCTGAAAAGACAAACAACATTTGAGCATAATTTGTACTCGATAATATGTTTTGTAATAGATTCAAAGGCTGACATATAGAAGCCCACGAATCGTTTTAATAAAATGTAAGCTTCTTTTGATTTCCTCTAACACAAGGAAAATTTTCTGGCAGCTGAGTGTAGTGCACGTATCAGAAGTATAACTAGAAGGATTTTTTTGGGTGATAGGGGTTTACATTCTAAATAAGAAAACACGTCAAATTTTATAGGATAGGAGGTGTCACTAAAAATGTAAAAAATGGCATCCAGTAGATTGACTCTATACTTCCTAAACCTTCGTAGGAAGTTTCAAAGAAAAGGGATGAGACAAGTTTTTTCAAAAGGGGAAAACGAATCGTTATTTTGAGTTTATGTTATAAATATCTACAGGATGTTTCAAAACTATGGGATCAAACTTGTAGGGGTTCTTCAGTGTAACAGTAGAAAATATTTGAGTATAGGGACCCATATCCGGCGCTTGTGTGTTCTTATCTTTAAAAACGATAACAGAGATTGTTCTTTGTAGCTGCATTCCATGTCGCCTTAGTCGTGCTATCGTATTTGTGAAGTTTGCAAGAAATTAAAAAAAAAATAATTGTTGGTAATGGAAAACTTTACCAATCAAGAATTTGTCGGATATGCATTTGGCATACGGAGCAGCAAGCTGCAATGCACGAGCAGCAGCGCGGTTGTATCAAGAACATTATCCCGAACGACAGCATCTGCGATACAAAAAGTTTATTGCTATTCATCGGCGGCTCTCCGAGACAGGCATGTTTAAAACCAACATGCATGATACTGGTGTTGCTCGAACCGTAAGAACGGTCGAATTTGAAGAAGAGGTCCTTCAGTGAGCTGCCGACAAACCATCAAGTAGCACACGTCACATTGCTGAGGATATGAATACGAGTAACGCTTCCGTCTGGCGGGTGATACACGAGCAACAACTTTATCATTACCACTTCCATAAAGTTCAAGGATTGACTGCAGCCGATTATCATCATGGAGTTCAATTTTGTCAATGGCTTCTTCATCAAATCGCTGCACAACCAAATTTCTTACGCTATGTTTTATGGACCGATGAAGCCTCTTTCACAAGAGACGGTATTTTTAATAGTAGGAATAGCCACCCACGTTTGGGACAAAGAAAATCCCCATGCAATTTTTCCCAGAAAACATCAGCAACGTTGGTCTGTCAACGTATGGGCAGGCATTGTTGATGATTATTTGATTGGGCCATACCTTCTACTGGAACGGTTCACAGGACTTATTTTCTTGGAGGACGTTCTTCTAGAACTTCTTGAAATTGTTCCATTGAACGTTCGACAACAAATGTGCTTTCAGCATGATGTAGCGCCGACTCACTTTGCTGTACAAGTACGTGAGTATTTGACTCAGCGGTTTGGGCACCATTGGATTGCCAGATGTGGAGCAGTTTCTTGGCCTCCTAGGTCACCCGATTTAACGTCGCTAGACATGTAAAGTCTTTGGTTTACGAAACTCCAGTAGAAACAGAGCAAGACTTAATTGGATGAATTACAGCAGCATTTGAAATCATTCAATACGAGTATCAAATTTTTAGTCAAGTCCGCCGAAATCAGGTACGACGTTTAAATCGGTCTAATCAGGTTGGGGGAAGACATTTTGAACAATTGTTGTGATGATATCATGTACAAAAGGCAAAAGTTAAATGAATTAAATCCTATTTAGGCAATTCATCGTCTTTCTAAATTTTAACGCATCTTAGGGCCGTAGTGACGTAGTGACACTTTTCCGGATATGGGTCCCTATACTCAAATGTTTTCTACTGTTACGCTGAATAACTTCTAGAAGTTTGATCCCTTAGTTCTGAAACACCCTGCATTTGCATCAAATTGTTCATGCTTTTGATTTGTATCATCTGTTTTATCAGCTTGAAATTTCTTACGATTCAAAAAGAACACATAGCTGTAAAATAGGAGATCGGTGAAGCTGACACAGAACAGCAGAAATCTAGAAATACCCCAGACTTTCGGTCCTTAGGTACGATGATTCTTCGACCTCTGCATATCAAACTATTTAAAGAAAACCTATCATACTATTGCTTCCATGGCAGATGTAGGGAAAATATGTGTGACTTATTATGTATAACATATGCATAGTATGTTCATCTCCTTCTAACACTGCCCAAAAATGATCTCTGAAACGTTGTAACACTATGTTCCGATAACATTCATACTTCATAGACGTTTTAACACAAATCAAAGTTTAGGCGAAATGGTTGGTACATCTAAGGATCATCAAATTCAGAGAAATATATTAATTTGTAGATAAAAGATAAGTTATCATTAACAAAAGTATCGCAGAACGCTAAAATGGTAGGTACTCCTGACATTCAAATATTGCTAAAAATATATGTTCTCTTGTAGCGTCATTGACGACATCACCGTAGATCCACCAGTAGGAGATTGTTACACATGGCACATCGGACTTTTATCATTTAATTTTCCCGTAGTTACCGGGACCAGAAGCTTCTTAATTAATAATTTATTTATTTATTTATTTATTTAGTGAAATCCACCACCAACTAGTGTTAACCAATTACCGGTGGCAAAACAACAATAGAAATAGTAAAAAAAACATATAAAAATACAATGATAACTAAAAACTGAATCATTTCACTGCAAACTCTCTTAATATTCGAAATACTTGTATTGAACAAATCAAATGTACTCTGTAGACTATTATAACATGAACACATCGAGTACAAACGTGAGTGCAACAGTAAGTTAGTTCGTGGGATATGTAGGTAAACAGTGAGTGTATTACGAGTAACAAATTTTGGAGCATTAAATTTAATCTGTGCTAGAAATGATGGACAATCGTAACTGCTATGCACTACTTTATGCAGGGATATTAGCGAGTGAATCTTTCTTCTGTTATCAAGACTGGTAAACTTGTGCTTACGTAACAGGTATTCCTGTGGGACTCCAACAGGTGGGTACATACCGTCAATTTTGAATGAAAAAAAATTCAGAAATTTCCGTTGAATCTTCTCCAGAGAGCCACAAGTTATAACAGCATAGATTCCATATTAGCCGTCCATATTCTAATTTAGACAGTATGAATGAATTATAAAGCATAATCATCGCATCTTTGTTACTTAATTGCTTCGAGTTACGTATTATAAATCCTAATAATCTGTTGACAGCATTAATAAGGTACTCAATACGAGGATCGAAGTTAAGTAACATGTCAAAAGTCACACCCAGGTCCTTGCATTCTTTTACTCTCAGCAGAGAATGATTGCCAATTTTGTAGTCAAATGCAGTAATATCTAGCTTTCTGGTGAAAGACATAACACTATATTTACTGTAGTTGATTGGAAGTCGATTTACAGCAAACCATTTAACTATTTTGGCTGCTATCGATGTCGCTAACAATATCGCTTATGAAAAGCAAAGGACCTAAGCAGGAAGCTTGAGGTGCCCTTGAGGTTGGGAAGAATTCAGTGGATTTGACACCCTCATATTCAACATATTGCTTTCTTCCTGATAGATATGACTCAAGAAAGGATAACAGCTTGGGGGAGAATCCAAAGTAGCTCAAATTCGTTAATAGAATACTGTGATCAAGTTTGTCAAATGCTTTACTAAAATCTGTATGAATTACATCCACCTGACTATTAGCATCTAATGCAGAGGAGACTGAGAAAAACAGGCTAGGTTAGTTATGGTTGATCTACCCTTCATAAAGACATGCTGAGAAGTACTTATTTGGCAATGTATATTGTGGTATAGGAAATTATGAAGCTGAGTTTCTAAGGCCTTGGAAAATATACATACTAGGGTTGTCGGTCTATAATTTTCAATCTGTAGTCTATCACCGTTCTTGAAAATGGGACGCGCCTTGGATTCACACCAATTTCAGGAAACGTGTTGGTCTTTAAACATAGGTTGAAGATCTTTGTCAACGGATGAGCTAAGACGTAGGCACAGTCACGCACTAAAAATGATGGGATTCCATCGGGTCCTGAGGTAAATTTATTTTTCATTTGCTTTAACATTTTAAAAACTTTTTTCTCGGAAAATCTCTGAAGTATTATGTTAGTATCCAATTCGAAATATTGATATCTGTTGCGTTGGAGGGCATAGTATATACAGATTGAAAAAATAGCGCAAAAGCATTAGCAATTTTATTGGGTTTGTCATACTGCTTACCATTATAGTTTACTTGGCTAATTGTGGAATTTTGTCCCCTTTTGTTACAGATAAATAACCAGAATTTGTTCGGATCCTGAGATAAGCTACTTTGGATATCTACTAGATAATTTTGATATGCGTTACGCTCATCGCGCTTAATTTTGGTCCTTAAGTCTTTGAACTCAGTAATCAAACTTTTATCCTTTTTAAACTTTTTGTGTACTAAATTTTTTCTTTTAATGTCTCTAATCATTTCACCGTTAAACCAAACTGGAAATTTGAGAGATTTTAGACTTCTAGGGACACAAATATTAAAAATTGTATGAAGATTGTTATAAAATGTTCCCAAACCTACGTTTACATTTGTTAAATTGTCAAGAAGCGTCCAATTAACCAAGCTTATTTGTTCATATAGTGCTACAAAATTGGCTTTTTTGAAATTATGCTGGCTTGATACTGTTTTTAGAATGGAAGCTCATGTTGATTATCATGACAAGCGGAGGACGGTGAACATCCTCAGGTAGTAGGTCATCATAAGCCTTAACTACGCTACATTGTTCATTTGATAACACTAAATCTAATAGCCTGTTACTTACATTCCGAACATCATTGAATTGAGACAGATCAAAGAAACCCATAAATGACTGAATTTTTTTCTGCTTGTGAGAAGATTGGAGGTGATTTTCATTAACAAATTCGGGAACATTAAAGTCACCTAGAATATAAATACTTTTGCCAAAAAGGTAATCAAGCGATTCTAGATGTTCAAAGAATCTGGCGGTATGTATATCACAAAGAAATAAGTCACTTCATTTTTATATCTAAGTTTGATTCCAATTATGTCAATACTGGGAATATCGTAATGATAGGACGTCTTTCACTAATCTTGAAGATGCAACATTTAAAACCCGCTACCCCCTACAAACCACAAGCTGTAACCAAACAAAAAAGTTTTCTGAAAGTTTAGGAGCCTCTTAAACGTTAAAAAATGAAATTTGAACGATTATTGTTTTTTTTTCTTGTTTAGACCTCTAGCCCCGCAGCCACTGGACCGATTTTCAAAAACTACGAAGCTTTTCCACCCTTGGCGTAGTAGTAACTTTGAATGAAAATATCATCAAAATCTGAGCAGTACGTCTAAAGTTATAGGCGGTTATAAGATTGACGGACAGACCGACACACAGACAGACCAACGGAAATGAGTGACATGCTTTTATGTGATGTACATGTCATACATTCAAAAAACATAATATCGCAGTTTCGGATTTTTTCGCAAGTACAATACTCGTCCAGTCTGACAGAAACTTGGATGATGTGAACTCCTCAAACTCACCCCTTCAATGCACTGGTGTGACTTAATACGAGCATGTCCCATCAGATGAGTTAAAAAAGGCATATATTATGTTATATAACTTTATTTAGTTTTATAACTACAAACTAATATCACCATATAACACATTTCACTTCAGGATTCATGGGACTATTTCTGGGGCAGCGGTACTCCTTAGAGAACTCCTCTGAATTACTGAGAACCCCTATAACTCGGAATATACCAGGAGAATGTACAGATGTCTTGATCCTGCTTTTGGCTGCTTCTATCCTTTGCTGGCCACACCAAACTTGGGCAAAATTAAGGAAAAACAGTTGTTTGCCACTTAAATTCAGACCTATGGAATACAAAAAATACTATAAACTCTCCCGTATCAGGGGCAGTTGTTCCGTGTCCCCAAAACTTGGATCCACGGACTCCGAAACAGAGTTCATTTGTGTTACGAGAAAATTAGCACCTAGATCTTTATATTTTTCGATTTTAAATTTCTTGCATTTGATTGGATTTGTGGTCTAAAGAAACAAAATTTGTTGTTATAAAGTTGCCGACGTTTCGGAAAAAATTACTTTCCTATTGAGGAGTCCTGAAGAAGAAAGCTTATAACAGGAAGCTGTGTTGCTTTAGACCCCAAATCTAACTATTTACATTTTTTTTATAAAAAATAGCGTCAATTATGTCGACTCTGAACTGCCCAACGTCCTTATCTACCTGTCTGCTGAAAATACTTTTCAGGGCTAATGTATTATAATTACCAGTTTAGTTAAGTGTAGCAGCCTAAAAAAAATAGGATAAACCAAATTTTTTTTGAGCGATTTTTACTTTTCTCATTTTAGGCGTTTTTTTTACGGCCAGGCCGACATGGTTTTTCGTGATATTAACAGACGGAATATTCAAATTTCGAAATGTTTCGCGATTACAATACTTCATCGCCACTTTTGGCATAGGAAGTAAAAATACTATAGACAACCAGGTTTTTGGGTACCTCCGTGCAACAGGACTAGCCCTTTACCAGGGGCAACCAAGCTAGTTGTAGCGTGGCCCCACCTTAGACGGGCCCCAAAACATGGGTTCTCTGGCTCCGAACCAGAGTCCATTTGTGTTATGAGAAAAATTAGCACCTACATCATCTTCAAAATTATAATAGTAGCATAACTAGTAAATCTGTATTTCAAAAGGGAGTATTTGAAATTAATAAATTGAATAATGAAGAATATAAAATTACTGAAAATGGATTGAGGAAAAATATGTAACCAAATCGTTATATAAAATTGGCATTGTAGCATTAATGTTAAATAAATCTTAGGCAAACAAACAAAAATTTTAAGTTGAATCCAGTAGCCAAATAGGTTTCCCAAATGTTGGCCTTTTTTGAGCTCCCTCGGCCATAGACTCAACCCTGACGTTGAAAATAAACGATTAGTGAGAAAGTCAATCGATTAATGTAACTCCTGAAATTTATCCTGTGATTTCCATGTTCATAGGAGTCCATAAGTATGTTTTAATTGGTCATCACGGTGAATTTTTGCAATTACACCGTGGTGGCCGAAAGGTCGTATAATAAACAGTTAAAACATATGTATGGTTTGATTCAGCAGGACAATGCAGCTCTGAAACGTAAAACGGACGATTTGATTTCATGTTTAAATACAAGATGTATTTGGCTTTTCTTGAAATTAATAGTGATAACTCAAAAACGTCTATAAACCTGATATCGAAGAAAAGTTCACCAAAACTATTTAACGATGTAGAAATATATATGGTGTTGTTGTTGCTGTTGTTGAAGAATTATTTAGCATTAATGCTACAATGTCAATTTTGTATAATGATTCGGTTACATATTTTTCTTCAATCCATTTTCTTTAATTTTACATTATTGTCTATTTAAATTAAAATTACGTCACTATGTATTTTGATTATCCATAAAGTGATTTTTTAATTTCACCTAACATTTTTAAATTCGACCTTTGTTTATCATTATTCAATTTATTAAATTCAAATACTCCCTGTTGAAATATAGATTTACTAGTTATGCTTCTATTACAATTTTGCAGTTTCGTAATTATGATAATGACTATTTAATTTTGTGAAGTTCTCTAAATGTGGTGGTAATAAATGATTTTTTAATTTGAATATGAAAACGAGAACTAAATAATTTATGAAATTTTTCATATCCAACCAATGCAGTTTTTCTAACATAGACTTAATCCTAGTATATTTGTTTTTATTTAAAATGATTCTCATAGCTTTATTTTGTAGAATTTATAATTTTGAAAATATGTTTTCATTTGCTGTAAACAAGATGGTTGAACAATATAAAAAATGGGGAAGAATTATAGTGGCATACACAATTTTTTTGGAATACATACTAAGATTATGGGAAACTACAGAAGTTATTTATCTTTTTCGATATTTTTGAAAAATGTATTCATAATGTTCGTGAAACAGTGGCTTACTATCCACATATATACCAAGATATTTAAATGACTCAACTACTTCAATCATGAGAGTATTGTCACCTCAATGTTTCCCTATTGACAAACATTTTGTTTTATTAGTGTTTAATTTAAGTTTATTGAGATTTAACCATTCATAATTTTTTCAATATCACTATTTAACAGTTTTAAAGCAGTGTCCAAATGTTTATGTGCTATATATATATATATATATATATAGAGGTGTATCATCCGCGAATATTTGAATTTTGCAATGTTCTAAAATGATATATTTATATGAATAATAAATAGTAACGTCCCTAATTTACTCCCATGTGGGCACCCCTACTGATATATTTTGAACACTTGACATAATATTTACAACTTTAGTTTTTTGACTTCTATTTACTAAATAATTTTGTAAAATGTGTAATACTGATCCTTTAAAGCCATAGTCATGCAATTTCATTAACAATTTTTCCCTGTCTATAGTCTCAAATGCCTTTTTGAAGTCTAACAATATTGTTACAATATATTCTTTCTCATCTATACTTCTTCTCCAGTCTTCCACCACCATTTGGATTGCCGTTTCTGTGGAACATTTTTTTCTAAATCCAGCTTGATTTTTTATCGAAAGTTTGGCTTCTTCAATGAATTCTATGGGTTGTTCGTATATTATCCCTTCGAACAGCTTCTTGACATCGGGCAAGACATTAATCGGTCGCATATTTATATACAGCTGAGAATTTTGAACTTTTGGCACAAGAGTAATGGTGGAACACCAATAATAATCATTTCTCTCCAATTATATTGAAAAAATCATTTAGAATATTTTTTGAGAGATTCTCACTTGGATTTTTATTAGAATTCAATTTTGAGATAGCTTTTCTTAGATTGTCGATGTTAATTGTCCTAAATTGCTTCATTGATGAATTTTGACATACTTGTAATGGACATAAGTTTGGATCACCGTCATCAATCGTCTTCACTATTTGATTTACACTTTCTATAAAATAAGTGTTCATTCTTTCTGCTATAATTAATTTGTCTGTCACTGCCCCATCTTCGAAACGCATTTTAGATAATTCAGTCTTTCTACTAGGAGAAACAATATTCTTTAATGTTTTCCACATCATTTTAGAATTATTTTTATTGCTATCGATCTTCTTATCATAGTATTTTTTCTTTTCCCTCCTAAGAACTGCTACACACTCATTTCTTGATTTTGTATATTGTTTCCAATCATTTTTACTTTGGGTTACTGAAAATTTTCTGTAGTCGTTATCGTGTTTTAATTTGGACTCCTTGAATATTGACGTTTGACCAAAGACAATTGACAATTAAAACTAGCTATTATATCTTGTTTTTAGAGGCTCTATTCAAAGATGCAATAAAATATAGGGTGTTCTACTTAAAAAAAAATATGTTTGCTATGGCACAAAGTTATGGAACACCCTGTATATATGATCATAATTTTAAAATCTGCACTAGTCACATATCACGGTTACTACACAGATTATTGATATCTTTTCCAATTTTCTCATAAAACTACTTTTAGTACGATGCAATTAGTACAAAAAAGGGTCTAACGTCAACATCCAAAGTAAAAGTTTCCCTCCAACTTCAAATTGACACAGACCACATATTGTTTGATAAAAAGTTACACCATTTTGAGCGTCGGGTTTCGGGGGAAGGGGGGGGAGAAGTTTGCAAATAAGTACTCTTTATCATTTTTTCTTAAATATTTCGAAGAATATGAGGTTTAGCGCAAAAAGTATTTATTACATACAAAAAAATCTACATTAAATTGCGAACAAAAATGGTCCTATGTATAATTTTGCTAAAGAGAATGGTTCCGTAGTTACGGAAGGTGTAAAATTAGACATGTTTCGTAACTTTTAGACTTTTTTTAAAAATTAAATTATAACACAACCTGTACAAAATAGAACCCGTACCGATAATCAAAACTTGCCGTTTTTTCTAACTACGGCCGTGTTAGACGAAAAATACAGAGAAGTTAAATAAAATAATAAGACACAATACTAAGGTTTGAAAAAAGACTTTTAAAAGAGGTCATATCGTTTGACAACGACGAACGAACGAAAAAAAACAAACGTCGGTGTTCTCGAGTTAAAGGGAGTACCCAGTGTGGCCGGTATGAAAACAAGCCAAAACTTCTCATTCGTCGGTAAACACTTCGCATGCCAATAGGTCTTCCGTGTTCTGCAAACCATTCATTTGCAATGGACCTGGTAGTGGAGAAACGGTCCCTTAAGTCCAATAATCACGGTCTGTTGTTCTACGGCGGCGTCCAATGCCCCTTGCTCTTTGCGTACGGCCTTCTCGAAGCCATGCCTGATAACACCTAACCACAGTGTCTACACTTCTTTGCACTCTAACTGTAATTGCTCGAAAAGAAAGTCCAGCTTCCCGAAATCCCACTATACGGCCCCTATCAAACTCACTAAGTTGACGAAATCGTACAGGTCTCCGTACTCTAGGCATCGTAACCGATCGTAAAGGATGTCAAGAACCAAAATCCGCCAACGTTGATTCTTTACTGCGGCTGAAATATTCATTTTTAGAGCGTTAGTGAATTAAAAAAAAGCAGTATAAAAACCGGAATGTCCAACTGATAAGGCTGAAAATTTTTTCATTTGTTATTTACAGTAAGATAAATACATTCACCAACTTTTATTAAAATAAAACCATTTAAACTGGGTGTTCGGATTTATATGTCACTTAGTATATAATAGTTCATTCTTAATGCGGCAAAATCCAGAGAAAGTTCAGAGCGGGTTTCTCCGCACCACAGGTTTATATGGCCTAGGCCTATGGAAGGCTGTTTTCCCTTAAAAAGTAGCGCCCCTTGAGAAAGTGGTGAGGTTGTCTTTCCTTCAAGGGCTTATCACTAACATACAACCGGCCACTATAATCACCATTCGCTTTTACAAAACCCAATCTTGCATAAAAAAAATTAGTTTCCTTAGCGTCATTTTTTCCAAAAAATGTAGATACGTGAAATATCTACTTTCTCATCTTTCATAACTCTGGATCCGTTCACTTTAGCAAGATTATGCAAATTATCATTTTTGTTCGCAATTTAATGTGGATTATTTTTGTATACATCACTTTTTGCGCTAAACCGCATATTTTTCGAAATATTCAAGAAAAACGGATATAAAGTACTTATTTACCAACTTCTACCCCCTCCCTCCAAAGCCGACGCTCCAAGTGGTGTAACTTTTTACCGAACAATATCTGGATCGTATAGAACAATTTGGCACTGGGGGAAAACTTTTACTTTGGATGTTTAGGTTTAGGTTTAAGTGCACCGTACTATTTCCATTTTCGTTGGGACACCCGGTATACCTGGCAAAGTTTCATCTGCTTTTGGATGAGCTTTCAGCCACGTTTCGTATGCTCCGAAAGCCTGCTTCAATCCTCCATTATCAGCTATGTTTTCTCCTTGCGTCAGATATCCATCTAAAGCAAGCCTGACATCTGGTAGAACATACTGTCCATACTGTTCTATCAAACACGCGGATTTTTCGTAGAATTTTTCTATGGAGGATTCTCTCCACCACATATGCAGGTTGCCATCCTGGTCGAAAAGCCTTCCCTTATCGTCGAAACCGTGACTGACTTCATGGCCTATGATCACGCCTATACCACCAAAGTTCAGTGCTTTAGGGAAATGTCTATTGTAAAATGGTGGTTGAAGGACGCCTAAAATGAATGAAAACCATGGCAGCAACTCTGATAGAAAAAGACACCAATTATTTGCTGATGTTACCTTAGGTATTGGATCAATACCTAAGGTATAGACATGAGTAGATTTTGAGATGGCTGAATTATTCAAGCACTAAAGCTGGCTTGGATTTCCTTTTTCTGTGAACGACGGTCTATGTTCTGACAAGCCACATGCCATACAGCCCTAGAAACAATTCAACTGATGCTTGAGACATTTCTTGGTCGGGTACTCTTCCGTTGTGGTGATCAGAATTGGTCCCCTGGATAAATTATTTGAAGTCAAAACTACAGCCAAAAGACCCTATTCTGTGTAATTTATACGATTTATCATACCATCCTTTGACCACATTATGTATATACAATGTAATGAACGTACAAATTGTGCTACAGATAGGATAGATTTACCTTCACAGTAGCTCATCAATTTCTCTTTCATGACAATAATTTTCTCAATAATAGGTAGGTATAATTGTAATTTGTTTGTAATTATCGGCGTCTCTGACGCTCTTTTATTAATAGCGATTTTAGAATTTTGGTGATGCTTACGGCCAAATATCATCGAGTATACATTTATGTATTATACAAGATAATGGAAAAATAATCAAGAGAAGAAAAGCTATCTAATTCAGATGTTCTGTGAATTTTGGGATATCCTTTATATATCTATTGCGAAATTTACCTGCTGGAAACATGATCTGATTCTTGTTCCTGCTATAATATGCATTTACAACTGCAGGAGGGGTGCTCCACGAGGTTCTGTTCACCACTGCACCCATTCGCTTCTGCTCTACTTTTGTGAGGTGTCTCAGAATTGTGAGGACGTTCTCGAAAAAGTAGTCAGGGTGAATTTCTACATCATAGTACCTAGGTCAAATATATATTTATTTATTAAAGATATTACTGCCATTCTGATTAAGAGTTGGCGTTAGTCTGGATACCTTGTTATTTTTGTAAGTTTTTTCGAGTAGAGTAGTAATATTGCTGATGTAAAGTATGAAATACAGATACTAAAATATACGCTACGCCGCTTGCAATGTATTTGAAGTTACGTGTAACTGTAAACGTTTTGCCCTAGTTTAATAAAGTTGAGGCATCTGTGACTACAGTAACGTCATTATCAATTATCTATGCTTCTCCATTCATTGCATGCTTAGCAAAGGGAAACGGGTTAGCATGTATTATCTTTTGAATAAAATAGTACGCACGGAGAAATATTGATTCACATTTAGATCTAGGTATATATTTGTATTTTCCAGGAGAAATTGAAGGTGGATCCAGTCACTTTTAATCAAACATCTTTCACTAGCAGTCACGAGGAGCTGTATATGGATGGTTAGTATCCAGGAACATGTACACTGAGAAAAAAAAATTTGAAACTAAAGAGAATTTCAATTAATCCTATTATTTAATTAACTATCTGACAGCTGACAAATTTAATTGATTTAGTTAAACTTCGATTTCTAAAACAGTTTACTTGAATATATGAAACTAGTTGAATTAAGCCAAAAGCACCAATTTACTTACAATTAATGAACTATCAACATGAGTTAACCTGCTTCAGGTAAAATAATTTAATTATATTTATTAAATTTGTTTAATTAACTTAGGTAAGAGTATTTGTATATTTTTAATGCATTCTTTTATTCAGATTTAGAAGTATATTTGGATAATATTCGGAATTAGAAAGAACAAATTGGATTTAACTGAATGATGTATGTGTGTAAGATCTTGGTTAACAAAAAAAAATTAAAAATCTTTATTTGTTTTAAAGTTACCTACATAAACTAAATTGCATAAATCAATTAAACAGTTCAGTAAAGCAGGTACATGGTTTACTATTTTTAAGAAAATCGGTTTAATAGTATATTTTACTTTCAATTAAACTGGTTGGTTCCAGAAAATTCAGTTTAATCAAACCGGATAATTTAGTTACTTGGAATAAGTGGGAGATGAAGTAGTAAAACAGATGATGATGGAGTCAAATTGCTAACCTACACTTACTGATTTTATAATCTACATAGTCAATATTTTTGAATGCCCAGTAAGCAAAAAATGGTTTGCTTCATGAATCGCCTTTGTAGTACAAAAGTCCTGCTGCTGAATGCTGTTAATTTGTAAATTACCTTTGTGATAACTCGGTTGCATTTAAAATAAAATCGGGATACCCAATTTTTAAATCCATATGATCTAACTTCATACGAGCATATTCCTTGGTATTGTTATCCAACCAATCGTTCTCCAGTAGTGTAGCTTTGAATGCTTCCGAAAGTGCTTTTGTTATTTCTGTCGTGTCCATTTTGCTCTGCTTATCAAAATACCTTCGAAAATTGAATTAATATTTAACGCAACATGTAAATGCTATTAAATATTATTATTTCAACTGAAAGTGTACATCAGCTCCAGCAACAATTGCAGAGTCAATATAGCGGATTATGCAATTTTGTTTATAAGATAGAGGTGATAGTAGTAGTGGTAGGGAACCGGATCCAGGCGACTAGGCCACCTTTGATCCATTTTGCCGGCGCTCTAGTACCAAAACAGTACTACTCCACACGACGTCTATTAGTAACTGATTATGGAATAAACCAACCCCATCCGTGCGATGTATAGTTGCAGTCACCGTTCTTGGCGGTTACGTCGTCAACGCCATATGAGATAAGTAAACAGATCGAGTCTCCGTACCATGTCCGGATCTTAATCTTCAGCGCATATGCTACTCTCTCCAGTACACATGAAGTGGGTAACAGGGGACCACTGTTTTCATTCTCTTCCTGGAAATACGTATAACAAGTTTAGCATGAGCTGTCGGCCTTCTCCATTGATCGTATTTCCAGGCATTGTACAATTTTATATTGAAGATGGATAATAGGACAACGCCGAGTCAAATATGATTGAAGGGCGGTGTAACGACAAAGTTTTCGATTCGGAGACACACAACTAAAAAACGTATGTATTTGAGCTTACCAAACAAACGTTTACACACAGGGATAGGTTGCATGTGTATGTATGAGGGAGATGGAGATATACAGGGTGTTTCAATTTATTGTTGCATAACTTTAAGATTCGATAGAACTTGGTATACAAGGATTTTTTGGTAGGACAAAACGAACCATGGGCATAGTTTTACTGTAGCCGCTACAGGGCGCTCTCTACTGTACCTGTAGTATATTAAAATGACCGAAAATGGCTTCCACGATCTCCTGACCTAAATCCATTAGATTTCTTTGTGTGGGGATTTCTAAAAGAAAAAGTGTGCCAGACTCCCGTAACCATAAGAGATATGATAATAGACAGAATCAGGAATGTATGTGATGAAATAAGGCCTTATTTGAATAAGGCTATACCACGTTCGATCATTCGTAGATGTGAATTGTGTATTGAACCATTGGGTTTACATTTCGAGCAACTACTTTAGATTTTGTATGTTTTTCCTAACTATCCAATAGCACTTTAGTTGTAAATAATTAATTCAATTTGTTAAAAATAATATTGGAAAATTAAACAAATTAATATTCTGTATTTTTGTCTTTATTTGGAGTAAGGAATTATTGCTGTGTTTAAAAACACATTCTAAACGATCATCTTAATTACTTGTAATGCCCAAATCGAAAATGTAAAAAGAATATTATTTTGCCATAAATAATTAAAAATGCATCGAACCTTAAAAATCGATATACCTGAAAAACGGCTAACTATAACGAAAACACACAGGAGAGATTTTTTATGTTGAAAAGTGCGAAGAATCAATTTTTTTATTCAAAAAGCAAAAAATTGCACTAAGAAAAAATTCTCGGTCATTTTATTACACTACAGGTACAGTAGAGAGCGCCCTCTAGCGGCTACAGTAAAACTATGCCCATGGTTCGTTTGTCGTACCAAAAAACCCTTGTATACCAATTTTCACTATTATACATCAAATATTGTTCGAAATATTTAAAAAAAAACTATTTTAGACCGTAAATTTAAGCACCCTGTATTTCGGAAGCCACGCATTTTTCGACCCATGTTTATATAGACTTTATGCATTAATTTAAAAAGTCCTATCGAATCTTAAAGTTATGCAACAATAAACTGAAACACCCTAAAGTTATAGTGGTCCGGCAAGAACGGTGACTACAACTATACATATCTCGACCTTGTACCGCTGTGGTGCGTGATACAGGCAACACAGAACATCCATGGCTCGGAAGTAACTTCCGAGACAGACATTCGAACCTGCGAGCCTTAGATCGACTAATTAGTAGCTCGGAACGCTGACCTCTCGGCTACCCAAGCCCAATTTGGCTCCATTTGAATTGAGATGGATCAACCATCAAGTCAAGCTACATCCTTCAACGGTTGAATAGGGTTGTAATGATTTATGAATACACAATCTTCATCTACCTACTTATCCTTCATCTAACATTTTAAATAATGAAAAAGCATGCCTTTTGACAAATAAAGAACCAAGAGCCATTCCCATGTCCGAATTTACTTGAGCCACACAAAACTGCCATCTAGGTGGACTCTTCTCTCTACCAAACAAGACGTGGTAAAATCGTTGCTTGGCCTTGGAAAATCTCTCGTCTGTCGAACAGTTACTTAGCATTAGTATAAACATTCCCTACATTATATCATATGAGAAGAAATAACATTGTTTTTATAATAATGATTTGGAAAGATTCTTTTTTGAGTACTCATTATTTTACTAGGTTATTTGATCCACACTATCGGCTTTTCGCAAAATACCTTCTTGTACGTATAAATATGCATTTTAGGTGACTTTAGAAAACTTTAGCTGTGTTCTCAAGTATCTCATACACTATCTATGAATATACAGGGTGTGTGTCGTGACCAAAAATGAAACATCATACACAGGACCGCATTTTAACCCATTTATGTCTAATGTACTATGAATAGTACAGCCTAAACTTGTTTGTTCCTGTAGATATCTGTACGATTTGGTTAAATTGAATAGCTCGCGGTGACAGTTTACGGGTGGATCTCGTATAGTACGGAGTAATTTTGCGTATTGTGCAATATTTTGTATGTGAAATCAGTTTTTGTGTATTGGAAAATAGAAGATGAACGAATATGGCGTGCGCTTTGCAAAGTAAGTAGGTTTTTTATGACATAAAATAAAAACTAGTTTATTTTTATGAAAATATTATTTCCTTAGTTGGGGCTTCTAGATTTTATGATTTTATGATGTGTTTCATTTATGCTTTGTTTGTGAGGTTATGATGAAGTTAGGAGTACTATACTTAGTACATCAGGAAAAAAAGGGTCTACGAATATGTTCATAGGCAAAACAAAAATAAAATAGTTTTAGGTAAATTATTTTTGAATAAGTAATTATTTTGAGAAGGAACATTCGTTTCAGGGGTTTTCCTTTGCATGAGGCGCTAGCAATGCTAGAAGATGACGACATTGAAGCTGAGTCTATCACTCTCCCACTAATGCATGCGGTAACATAACCGACGGGGATTCTGGAGACGAAGAAAGACTGGATATCAACAACTTGCCAGGAAGCTTAATGCAAGCTGAGGTCGAAGTAAATACGAATCAAAACGAGGATATGTGGAGTTCACAAGATGAAATACCACTCAGTGAAATCAGGGGTAATAATCGGAAGGAAGTGAAAAAGAAGAAAACATATAATTACGTAAAAGAAGATTTGCCAAGAAATGAGTATGCGTTTCCAATAAACAACGAATATCAAAATGAACAAGAGCAGTCCCCAATTGAGATATTTTTTAGTTTTATTGATGACGAAATTTTGAACATAATAGTTGAGGAGACAAATCGGTATGCTCAACAGAAAAACAGGAATATTATGGTTACCAAATCTGAAATCAAATGTTTTCTAGGCATATTATTGTTGAGTGGCTACAGTAGTGTATCTCGCAGAAGGATGTATTGGGAAAAGTCCAGTGATTCACACAACTCACTTGTTTCTGAAGCTATTTCTCGCGATAAAATTGAATTTATAATGTCTCACATTCACTTCCTAATCAATGAAGCTCTGGATGCAAATGATAAATTTGCTAAACTAAGGCGACTTTGCAATCACCTGAATAAAAAATTTTTGGAATACGCAGTACCAGAGGAGCATCATAGTATTGATGAGGCAATGGTTCCATACAACGGGACATGGTTGTAAACAGTATATCCACGGGAAACCAATACGTTATGGTTTCAAATTTTGGGTTGGCGCTACTACTCTTGGTTACATCTTATGGTTTGAACCTTATCAGGGTGCTTTGACGTATGTGAACGCGGCTTACAAATCTTTAGGTGTTGGCGTATCAGTTGTATTGAGCTATGCTGATAGGCTAAAAAGCAAATGAGCAAATCTTAGGTTTCATTTTGTATTTGATAATTTTTTTTCTTCGCCAGCTTTGTTTGAAAGCTTGACTGAAAAAGGCATATGTGGTACAGGAACAATTCGTGAAAATTCGTGAAAATCTTCTTTGAAAAATTCAAAATTTATGAAAAAGGAACAACGTGGAGTGTTTGATTATACCAAAGTGAAAGATCAAAACTTATTTTTTGTAAAATGGAATGACAACAATATTGTAACTTTTGGGTCTACAGCGATTGGAATTGAACCAGTAAATTCAGTAAAGCGGTATTCTCAAAAAGAAAAAAAAATTGTGTATGTAGATCAGCCCCAAGTTGTCAAGCTGTATAATAAATGTATGGGCGGGGTGGATAGGTCAAACCAGAATATAGCTCAATACAGAGTACAAATCCGAGGCAAAAAATGGTATTTCTCGTTGATTCTCAATATGTAGATATGGCCCTGACAAACGCCTGGCATATTTATAAAAAGAGAGGAAATAACGTGGATCAATGACAATTTAGAAGAAGTGTAGCTACAACTATCTTGACACAAAATACGAAGACTTATACGTACCAGGAAGGTAAATCAAGAAATCTTGGTGACATAAGGTATGATCGCTTAGATCATTTAGTCATTCCACAAGGCAAACAAACAAGGTGTGCACACTGTCATGAGCGCACGACTACTAGATGTAGAAAATGTGATGTCGGCCTTCACGTGAAATGTTTTGTTCAATCTTTAAAATTTGCAATATTGATGTGTTTCAAAATATTTGTACTATTTTCAATATTTTTTTCATTATTATTCTTATAGCTACCTTTATTCTTAATGTACTATGTATAGTACATCCTAAAATACTAACTGTTTATGTATTTTTTTTTAGAATAAGTTGAAAATACCTCCAAAGTGTCGCCTTTTAATAAGGTTTTTTAAAAAACAAAAAAAAAACTTTTTTGCAACTCTTTAGGCATAAATGTGTTAAGGGGGTCTTATGTGTCACATTTTTTCTTCGAGGGCTTCGTTAAAAAGATACAGGGTGTTGAAGCTTAAAAATATTTTTTTCAATATCAACAAAACCGCCAACTGGAATGAACTAAGATTTGGTATGCGGATTCACCTAAGTATTGTCCACATTAAAAAATCTTTGCCTAAAATTGACGTGCACCAGTATCGGAGATACAGGGGATTAGTGGCATTATTAGTTATTAGAGTTTTCCTAGAGTGCATTGTTTTCGTAAAAATGACAAACTAATTAGATAATTGATACTTTCTGACGGATTTTGATAAATAAATTCTATCTTGTAACTGATCAGCAGTATTAATTTGTTCAGCACACACAAGTTGTTTAAATGCGTTGCCGGGTTGCAGATATTGCACATTTTGCCGATGGTAAGGATGTAAATCTTCCCGATTTAAAATTCTCCATGCAAGACTTTGGGAACATGGTAATTGGTCGTCAATCCGCCTAGCACTTGTACTTGGATCATCCAACGCCACATTAATCACTTCCAGTTCCTCTTGATCAGTATACCGTACACGATGGCCTCTAACTCCGGGAAGTTTGGCAATTCCATATTACCGAAGCCCCGAAGGAAATCTACGTTGATACTCCCGAGAAGCCACTAAAGCATTTCCATTACGGAACCCGTACACAAAAATAATATCGGCGTACTCGTCATTGCTAAATTGCATTTCACAATACTCAAAAATGGAAAAAAGAAGCTTTCGACTTGACTTAAAAAAATGGTAATAGTAACGATAACACATAACTTTGACAAACTATCTCCCAAGAAAGTTGGTATCAAGGCCTCCTATTTCATTTTTAAAGCAATTGTATCTCGGCTCTGCACGAATCATCTAATTTGTTTTATTTTCATTTTTAAGAAAACAGTGCACTCTAGTAAAAAGTACAAGAGTAATTATTTGTAGCAAATTGAAGGTAAAATTCGAAATGTTGCGCGTTTCGAAAAAAAAGACAGTAGCGTACTATTTTTATCTGGAAAAATAATGCCGCTAATCCCCTGTATCTCCGCCACTACTGCTCGTTAACTTTGAGTAAAGACTTTTGAATGTGGACAATACATCCACATACCAAATTTTAGTTCATTCCAGTTGACGGTTTTGAAGATAATAAAAAATGGCTTTTCATTTTTAAGCTTAATCACCTTCATCTTTTTAATGAAGCCATAGGATGTTTCATCTTTGGTCACGACTTGTGAATCACCCTGAATTGATGGAATATCTACCTAAATTGCTGGTTCTGTGTCGCACAAATCTCCAGACGACATAGTTCTGCAGGGTTCTAGGTTCTGTGTTACTTATGAGATAAAAGAGATCTTGCAAGAACTTTGCACAATAACAGGCAACAGGTGTCATCAGGTCTATATCAGTTCCAAGCACAATGTCAAAATAGTTTTTCCAGTCAAATTGTGGAAAGTATAATGTTAAAGCAGCAATATCGGTCCTAAAAAAGTATTTAGAAGTATCATAAATCCATGAGCAATTAACGAAGGTTTGTTATTGGGTCTCAAATGAGCAGATATTTTGCTTCCACATCTCAAGGCGAAACGGTTGTGTCTAATATTAATTCCTTAAAAGACAAACAACATCAACGTATTTCAGATCCATTAACAATGCATATGCAATATTTGTATTAGAAGATTGCCTAAGGTTTAACTTCCATGTTTCGACTACACTTTTAATTGAGTTTTTGCGTTCTTGGAGGACAGGAGGAGAAATACCGCCTCCTTAACTGAAAGTCATCCATTCTGTTCTTCATCGTGGACATCTTTCCAATTGACACTCAGGCCCGCTGCGTGCTGGCGTACAGAGCGTATGTACACCGCACAAGGGCAACAGTTTCAAGGGGGAGACAAAAACAGATATCGAAACAAAAAAAATTAGGAAATTTACAGTTTATAGTTTAAATTTGGTCGTCAATGATGCACCAAATATTTCGCACAAAGCCGTGAATTTCTTTAATATAATTAGGTAAATTTACGTTTTTTGTTGATCATCTACAAAGAGGTTATAGATAATTTTCAAGCATTCACCAGATTTCCAATTAAAAGCTCTAAGTGCCACGCGATGGTCTAGCACATTGATTCCCACCTGCAAGTGGTCTACGTCAGCCAAAAAAAATTTGGGGGTCCATGAAATGAATATGGGGGTCCACGATAGTGGGTCTCAACACATACACTGATAGTACCTATTTACTTACATCATACTATCTTAGAATATCAAAACATATACATTATTTATAAAAGTACCTATGAAGTAAAAAATTTATTATATATGTTTATAAAATTGTGTAAGTTGTAGGATGTTGGTATTCGCTTTGTGGTCGCAATACATTTTGAACTTGTAAAAACCTGAGAGACGCAGTCTCAGAGCTTCGCTACCTTGCACTGACTTGTTCAATTCGTCACTCTATAAATACGAATGTGGGACAAATACGTTTATTCGTTTCCTGAATCTTGAAAAGGAAAGTGCTAAGAAAATATTTTAGAAAATATAAACAGATAGTATATCACACAAATTATAGTGAGTAAGTGTTATTTTGTTTGAGAGTGCTGGAGAAAAGTAAGTAAGTACATTATTTTTTATTAAATTTTAGTTTTGTACTCGTAGTTAGCAAAGATAGATAAATTACGCCAATCATGACTTTAGTTATTAGTAGTTAAATATTCAATCATGCAAAATTACAAGTTACAATAGTTTCTTTTTGAAAGTTTTAGCAATCGGTAATATAATTACAGTGCAATCTCCGTAATTCGAGCTAATTGTTGCAAGATGTTCGAATTATGGAATGTTTTCGGAAAAATCAAAAAATATTTTTAATATACAGCTGCTGGATTTTCTGTCTTATTTAAATAATTTAATTTTGCCCACAGATGGTTTGCGGGCGTCTTAAAATATCTCGTTACTTATAGCAAAATCCGGAAAACCGCATAGAAGTTAATTTTGCCAGCCGTTGTAGAGGTTTTAAAAACTGTTTTACACAAACCTGCATCTAATATCATTAAAAGAATTCCCTTAAGCAACAATGCTGTTGAAAGACATATTGATGAAATGAGTTCTGATATTGAAAGCCTCTTATGTAATTATTTGCAAACGACCCATTTCTCTATACAACTGGACGAGTCAACTTTACCTGATAATGCAGCATTATTATTGGCATATGTTCGTTTTATTATGAATCAAGAAATCTACGAAGAACTGCTCTTCGCAAGAACTTTGATAACCGACACTAAAGGTGAATCAATATTTCCTGTTTTGAAGGATTACTTCATTGAAAAGCAATTCCTTTATCAAATATAACATCAGTAGCTACAGATGGAGCACCTGCCATGGTTGGATGTTATCGTGGATTTATAAGCTATTTAAAACAAAATGTGTCAGGGGTGTTAGCAATACATTGCGTCATCCATCGACAACATTTAGTTGCTAAAAATTTGAGTGTTAGATTGCATGAATCACTTCATTTAGTCATTGATCCAGTAAACCGAATCCGAAGCAACGCGTTGAATACGCGGTTATTTGCGCAGTTGTGTACAGAAAATTACGAACACTTTCATCAATTACTCCTTCACACTGAAGTACGCTGGCGGTCGAAAGGCTTATGTTTGACAAGATTTTTAACGAAAAAAAGAAACAGACTGGACATCATTAGCCGAGGAGATTTAAGATTAACCCTTACAAAATTGACGCCAAATGTTGATAATTTATTATTAAAGCATCAGGTTCATCCTTCTCACTAAAAATATTGACTTATTGCTCATGTTATTTTATTTATAGTTTATTTTATGTTTATTGGTGTCTGACCAATAAATGCCCGCATTGGGAATAAGTGCCCGCATTGATTTTTTTAAAGAACCCCCCTTTATAGAAAATATTTTTTTTAAATTAACACACACACTAAAATTCGTTAATTTTTTGCCTATTTTTAGATAACTTAAACGTATAAGAAGCAGAATTTAATCAAACTAACAGTGAAATTATTGTAGAACATACGTTTATGTTATATTTAATAAACGAACTCGCTTATTGTACTATTTTAAGTAAAAAACTTTTTTTTTATTATTTTTCACTTTTTTTTTATTTTATCCCTCTTATTTTTTTTTCAGTGCGGGCACTTATTCCCAATGCGAGCACTTATTGGTCAGACACCTGTTTATTTAATGCTACGTATATTTTAGATAACAGATACAAAATTTTATTTTGAGTAGTTTTAATTTAAATTCAATTAATAAATTTATAAATTAACATGTGTTTTTACTTTAAGTTTTTAACACTAAACTTCACTACAGTTAGAAATTTACAGGAAATCAATATCAGGTAAGTCTACCCAACACGGAAAAACATGGCAAGGGGTCTACGACACAAAAAGTTTGGGGAACTCTGGTCTAGCAGAATCGATACAGTCAGATTATTACGGTTCCATCTTGAAAAAATATTTGATACTTTGCTGGAAATATCTGATAATAATTCATCATAATGGTACAACATTTCACAAAGCTCATTCGCTTGCGCTGACCATTCAAAAATAATTTGGTTTGATATTTTAAACGAAATTAATGCTTTAAGCAAAATGTTGCAAAGCCCCACAATGAACATATAAATCTGTGCAATTTTTTTGGAAAAACTGATTATTAAGTTAACCGAATATCGCACAGATGAGCACTTTGCGAAGCTATTACAAAAAGCTACTAATGTAGCTCAGGATCTCAGCATCGAAGCAAATTTCCCGCCAATAAACACACGATTTCTCTTAGAAGAGGCTCAACCCAATTTCAATATGAACCCAGTAACGAAGTGTTACTGGATCCCAAGATTGAATACAAAGTAGAGTTTTTTCTTTCAGAATCTTAGTTCAGACGCTAATCAGTCTAAAGGACAGATTCGAGGACTTAGAAACTTTTTCTGACATATTTGGCTTTTTAAACAATAACTTATTTAATTACTACAACGATGAATAAATGATACATTGTAAAAATTTAAATCTAAAGCTTAGAAACTTGCTTAGAAACTTATCTACTGGCGAAACTGACATTGACGGTATCGATTCACTTAATTAAATTAGAGCTTTGAAATTGCACTTTCCAGAAAATCTATCCAATGATTCTAATACTTTGTTACAATACCTTCTTACTAATGATTTAAAAGATTATGGGACGAATCTTGCTCTTGACGGGATTAAAAATGAAAAGCTCCATATTGGGTGGCTGCTGAGCAAAGAATGATCAGCGCAGCTTTGCCAGATGGGCCAGACAGAGTCGCCCCAGAGCCAGCACCAACATCCCCGATAGCTTTAAATATTTATTGAAAATTAAAAAAAAATGTTGGATAAATATTAGTAGCGACAGATTTTTTAATATTTAATAAATATATTTATTATAGATATTTGTAGTATATATAATTCATATATTTTTGCGATATTTTTTCCAAATAGTTAGATAATATATGAGGAAAGATTTTTAAATATCAATTTTATATTTTGATGAAATATCTTGTATTTTCCGTAAATATGTATGGATTTTCAAGCATTAATCTGATACATATTTTCAGTGTATATAAAAAATTCTTCATTGGTTATTTTAGTAAAATCTGTAGGAATGCTTATATAAAATTGGGTTTATAAAGAAAATTCATTCTAGATATAATGGTTTAATTTGCTAGAAAGATACTGCTGCATCTTGCAAGTCCACTCCTCTGAAAAAAAACTTACTAATTATGAAGTATTATTGAATACATAAGCTGCTTTCCAGTGTATTTACCGGAATATAAAATGCAGTGGAACAATATTGGTGGTGAGCATGGTGAGTTACTCCGAGTAGCTCAACTGGGCCACTGAAAAGCAGCTCTATAATGCACCTGAAAGGAATCCACATTTTCTGCCTATGATAATTCGAGATTTGGTTAATTTTAAAAAAAATCTGGTATGTTATTTTAGATATATTGATGAAAAATATCCATAGGCACAAATAACTTTTAAAGAAAAGGTTTTTGGAATTAGACCTCGTATTTATTTTGTTCAAATGTAGGGGGAACGCTTGGAAGAGCGGGGAGAGCTTTCTATCCGCGATCCGTGTGGCATCAGTCAGAAATTATTCGTAAAACCTGTAAGTCAACCCCTAGCTGATAAGTATTTAGTGCCTTATGCGGTTGATTTACAGGATTTAGTTCAGCCTCAAAAGAAAATTGTCAGTTTGAAATCCAAATTGTTACTAACCTAACGGTCGTTATTGGGGACTGCGGTATCGCACAGTAGTCGTGTAGCTCTTTCTCCAAAAGCACGTGTGACAGAAAAGAATGCCTAGATCAATAGGCCAGTTCACATAAAAGGTGTAGAGATGGGAAAGAGTACATGTTTTGTGGAGATAGATGCGACCGCGAGGAAAAAAGATTACAGAAAAGTAAATTTTATGTGCAGCAACGGTCAATTTTGCTAGGAATGGAATAAAATGCCCCAGAAGCACCCAACAATTTTGGTTTTCTCTCAAAAATTCACCCAGAACATTATGTCGTCCAAAAATTTATATAATTAATATATTCTTCGTTTAACTTGACATACAACATGCTGAATATTTGTTAAACTATTGTGAATTTTAATAGGAACAAATTATATGAAAATAAAATAAAATACTGCTTTTTTCTGTTGAAAAAATAACAGATTATAAAAAGTCATTTATTCTAGGCTTCAACAACAATTATGATCCGAAATCACATTTAAATGACTCTCTATAAAGTCACGTATCTTTGAAATATTCATTCTCTTTTGTTCTGTCGTAATGATTCTATGAGTTCAAAAAAAGCCAGAATTTCTAATTCAATTTTTTCGGTAGTATAGATGTGTGATATACAGGGTTATCCAAATTAAGTGTCCACCATTAGTAACTTTGTTATTAGTGAAAATACAAAGTTGTTTGAATTAGCAAACTAGTAGCATTTTTAACGCTGGTAAAAATGAGAAATAAAAAAAAACAATTGAGAGTCGTTATTTTGATTTTTTTCAGTAAAATAACATTTTTTTAAATGGAAACCCCTGTATATTATATTTTTTTCTGTTAAAGCATCAAATTTTAAACAAAAAAGCTTACAATAACTTTTCTCCTAGGTTACAAATTGTTGAAGTTATGGCCTCCAATCTGAAACAATTAAATTGTATCGACAAACTTTATTTTCAACATCAACTTATAATCTTACAAAATACAATAACAATTTTTTTTAAAGAAGATGCTCGAAAACACCACCTTGTTCTTCAATACATTTTTGGGCACGTTTTTCAACTGCTCGAACTGTCTTAAGTATGGTCCTACCATCTATCTGGGTTATCTTTTCCCTAACTGCAGTCTTTAACGCGTCAAGGTTATCGTACCTTCGCTTGTAAATTTGGTTCTTTAAGTAACCCCACAAGAAGTAATCAAGTGGGTTTAGATCTGGTGATCTGGGAGGCCACTGTATTGGGCCATTTGTTCCTATCCACTGATCATTAAAAGTAGTACTTAGAAAATGATAAGTACCTCTGGAGTTGTGGGCAGGTGCGCCATCTTGCTGAAAATGCAGATGATGTCTACTTATAAGATCCAATTCGTCTAAGAAATTAGTCAGAATTTCTGACATAAATTCCACATATCTTTCACCAGTTAGGGTTCCCTCATAAAAGAACGGGCCAACAATTTTTGAACCAATTATACCGCACCAAACGTTGAAACTGAAACGGACTTGTGGGCCTCTTGGATGTACTAACAAAAGATTTTCTCTTGACCAATAATGGTGGTTTTTTCTATTAAACATTCCAGAATTTGAAAAATTTGATTCATCTGTCCATAAAAGGTAACGAAAGTTATTTACATTTTGGCGACAGAAGCTAAGATACCAATGGCAAAAAACAAGTCTTCTCTCTGGATCCCCTGCCAAAAGCGTTTGAACTGGTCGGTACTTATACGGAATAAATTTGTATTTTTTTAAAATCCTTTGAACAGTACCATAACTGAAATTAGAGTCCTTGAGAATATCTGCTATTGAATTCTCACGATAAGCTTCAAAATATCCAATAACAGCAATTTCCGTGGCCTCGCTTATTATGAATTCTTTTTTTGCCCTTGTTTTAGCAAAAACATTTTCGTTGCCCCTAAATTTTCGATAAAGTCTCAGAAAATATCGTTCATACGGTTGAATGCGAGCGGGATATAATTCACTGTAGTATTCTCTTGCTCTCAAGGAGGATTTTCTGCACACTAAATAGCATTCTAACATATCACACTTTTCTTCATGGGAGAACATTTTTCTTTAAATTAATGACACAATAAAGCTTATAAACAAGTATTTACACTAATGTTTGACATTATTTGATTTTATCATTGTTTTCCAAAGCCTTCTAGTTGCGAGTATGTCCAGTTTAACAATTTGTCGCTTATCTTAATGCTGTCAAATCGCGAACGCCATGTTGTTTTCATAGCCGTCTTAATATTATAATACTGCAAATAATTAAAAATATTTATCGTTATTTTGACTTTATTTTTGACTTTAGCGGAAAAGTCATTATGAACTTTTTTGTTTAAAATTTGATGCTTTAACAGAAAAAAATATAATATACAGGGGTTTCCATCTAAAAAAATGTTATTTTACTGAAAAAAATCAAAATAACGACTCTCAATTGTTTTTTTTTATTTCTCATTTTTACCAGCGTTAAAAATGCTACTAGTTTGCTAATTTAAACAACTTTGTATTTTTACTAATAACAAAGTTACCAATGGTGGACACTTAATTTGGATAACCCTGTATAGTGCAGTAGTCTTATCTTATACCTGCCCCTTGGCCATTCGAGTAGCTAATGGTTCTCTTTACCTCAAATACAACTCTGAAATATTCCTCCTATCCTCCGTGGAGGCCATAATCTGTGATACTTTGATCTCGAAGTCAATCATGTCATCAACGTTTTTTTCAGTTACGTTCGGCTTGGCGTTCATCAATGAAGCGACGGTAAGGATGAACACCCTGTATGCCTTCAAATATTTAAGGTTTGATTCCTCGAGGAAGTATTCCCTGGCGGGTAGACCGAGCATCGGCTGGTCGATGTGGACAATGTATTCCTTTGAGTTTTTCATGTCAGGACCTACCTTCATACAGAAGTAGCGGAATAATACAAAGCGGTGAACATTCAAATTCACATATCTTTTTCATAGATGAAATATATTTTCTATAAAATTTAGTATCGTAAAAGATATATAGCGAGTATGTTGGCTAAAAAATTCATGGCGTGACTATGATTAAAAATTCAAAAACGACTTATTAAGCGAAATAATAATATTGTAACACTCTGCATAGTGCGATAGGTCACAGTTCGAGGTATCATGTGTTGTTAAATAGTAGGTACGTATTCCAACTCTTACGCTATATTTACAGGGTGTCCCAATAGCTTGTGGACATTATAAGTGTCAAATATTTTGAGACCAAATTTAAGTCGACTGCTCATGATTCACCTCTAAGCAAAAGTTCTTCGTCTGTCTGTTTTCTTTTTAAAACACATTTTTTCAGATATCTTTGAAACTTGTAGTCTGACTTGAATGAAGCACATTTGTTTTGCTAGACGGCCGATAATTTCAGTCTTACAAAAAAACCGAAAGGTTCCGAGAAGGATGGAAACTACCCCGACCCCTACATAAATTAAAATTCTGCTATAATTTATGAGGGAGTAGGTGAAATTTTCACCCTTCTAGAATCATTCGAGTTTTTCGTAAAAGACAAATATAAGAACCTTTAGCAAAATTAATGTCTCAAATTTCATTAAAATGGGACTACCGGCTCATACAATATCTTAAAAAAAAAAGTTAAAAAAAACGTTGATACCCTCCAACGGACAAATGAAGCACTCTTGTAGAGAGGTAAATTATCTCCAATTTGACTTATTTTGTGTCTCCTATATTCATGGAATATTGGGACACCCTGTATGATCGCATCGTTGCACAGTGGCCTAGAACACCGAACAGCTGGCAGAAATACTACGTATACATTTAAATGATTTTTAGTGCAACAAGGTTTTTTGGGTCGCTAATTTCAAATATGGGGCTAGTTTTTCTCTATGAATGCATTTGAAGGTCACTTGAGGGTTATTTCAAGGACATTCCAAAAGAGGCCAGCAGATGGTTAAGAAGTTCGAATAGAGGTCAGTTCGTCACCATGGGTAACTAGACATCAAGGACTAATTCAAAATAAGTCTAGCGTTCGAGTTCTGTCATATAAGTTTTTGTGATTGTTGAGTCAAAATCAGAAATAAGTTGGTCTCTATGGAGGCTTTTGAAGGGTATTTAAAGGCCACGCAAAGGATATATTCAAAAAAGTTAAATAACCGTAACCGACCACCTGCAATTATATGGCAGTATATAAGGTTATATTGGTCAATAGTTTTCAAGAGTTAGCAAAAATTGACACTACATTTATCTGAAAGTACTTCAAGGTTCACAGACATAATTTATTCCAATTGGTGCAAAGGGCGGAAAGAATCACTATTAATACTAATATAAGGAAGTGAAGCTAATATAGTAATCAGTTCAACTCACGGTGTACATGAAAAAAACAACATTGACAATTTTTTATTATGAATTATTAATTAAAGTTCATACTATCTTTACTGTGGTCCATTTCTAGATATTTAAATATTTTTACAACACAATACGACGGATGATAAGGAAGCTCTCCAATGTTGCCGTTAAACATAGTATCAAAAATGATGCAACAAAAATTTTAAATTTAATAGTGACATGGTAAAGGCAGTGTAAGTAAAGTTCTGTATTCAAGCCCAACTTATTGTTTAAGGTATTAACTTTAAGATAGGAAATAATTTTCGATACTTTGTTTTTTCAATTTTTGGCGGGTTCTCGAAAGAATGCACCACTACGCTGTGAGATTAAAGATTGATTAAAAATTGTGTTTTGTGTGACCCTGACGATTTTTTAATTGATTTTTATGTTGAAATCAGCCTTTCGTAAAGAAAATGACGGTGAGCTAACTAAAACATCACTCAATTTTGACGGTTACCATACCACGTGCTATAACAGAGTGGCTGCTTTGGTAAATAGATACCGTGAAGAATTTTGAATTTTTTGTTCTGAGAATACAGTAAGCACATAATATATGATATTATATATAAGATGATAATTTCAAGTGCCGGCCTGTGATTCGACACAGTGTGGAAACTAAGAGAAAAGGGATCTGAACACACTTGCGGAGCTTCAACACTATCTTGAAGGAAATCTCCGTTAATCAATCATATCGACAAGTTTTTCATTGCTATAATAGTGTCTCTTCTTCAGTTTTTTAAAGCCGATTCCGAAATAGATAGCTTGAGTTACTTACTCGATGGGCTTAGTACTGACGCGCGTCGTATCTTTCCATCTAATCATTCGCTGTAGTCTGGGCCAAATTTAATATCGCAGATATTTTTGAAATCTATTATCTCTATCATTTTAAGACTGTATTCATACGAAAATTTGGTCATTTTAACAAGCACTATGCACCGCGTAAAGGGAAGCCCATATTCAAAAACACCCCCTACCAATATCGTACTGCGCACTGCACATATCCATCCAGGTTAGCAAATCTACAGCGTAAAACAAACGATGACGTTTGATATGAACGTCATCGCAGCTATTTTCAACACGCTTCCAATTGGCCGGACTCTCAATGAATCCTAATATGACGTAACTGTAGCGATTTGATCGACGTCATCTTTCGTTCATAGTCACTCGTTCCTTTCTCATGCCTATACAGGCAAATTACCGCACCGATTAGCACCTCGCTTGGATTCTTCGCAACGCGGATGTCGATATAGGGTCACAAAAGGGCAGCACTGCGGATATGTTTTTGAAGTCTATCCAAAGTGATGTTAGCCCAAAAGTGGTCATACTATTATTGCTGTCCTCGAAAGAAGATTAAACTCTTTTAAATATAGTAAAAAGACTTAAAATCAACACCATTTTGAACAACATCTCATAATTATTTTTCCAAAAAACCTCTAAATTTGATAGGACAGAAATTTGAGCGGTGATTCCGCGGCACATAGTAACTATTGTTTCCGCGTTTCTAACCTCTAAAATAAATCCAGCAATTTGTTCTGCACAGTTGGAGACAGTAAATCTCTGCGAGAATGATAAAACATGTTACAATTTGAAGAAAGTATAATAAAAGTTCTTCTTTAATATAGGTAGACTGATTAGCTCCTGGCTAAACTCACTATTTTACTACGATTGGGCTCACTAAAGGGCGGCAGAGCAGAACATCGAAAAGGATTTTCATGTGCATGCACTGGGATGCCCACAGATTGGTGTAAACACCAACGCCTCTCTTTGTGATATTCCACAGGATGCACTCTGATACCAAGAGAAAAATCCTTCTTAATGTATGTATGTTTTCACTCTCGGTGTCAGAGAGCATGTTGTTGGATACCGGGGCAAGACACGCAGACATGCACCGCCATACCGGATTGGCTAGAATTGGCTAGGCTATATCAAGGGGTAAAGGTGACACTGGAGGACGGCAGAACATGACATCAAAAATGATTTTCCTTTGCATGTGCTGGTATGCCGATTGATACCACGACATATCGATGCATCTCGTTGCGATATTCTCCAGCAGCAAGCAACCTGGTATCGAGAGAAAAATCCTTCCTAAGGTATTCGACGTTCGATATCCATTTTTCAGTCTCGGTATTAGAGAGCATGCTGTTGGATCCCGAGGCAGAAGAGACAAATATGCACCGCCATGCCGGATTGGCTAAAATACATTAGGCTATATCAAGTGGACAAAAGGAGACACTACAGGACGGTAGAACAGGATACTGTAAAGGATTTTCGTTTGCATGCGGTGGTATGCAGATCGATACCAAGGCATACCAATGCCTTTCGCTGCGATATCCTGACTCTGATCTCGAAGGTAAAATCATTCTTGGAGAATCCTACAGCATGCTCTTCGATCTCATAACAAGCATTTTTCTCTTTCATTATCAAAGAGCATGTTATTTGATACCGGTGCAGGAAGCACAGATAAGCACCGACATACCGCTAGAATTGGCTAGGCTATATCAAGGGAACAAAAGGGAACACTGAAAGATGGCAAAACAGGGCATCGAAAAGTATTTTCATGCCGATATCATGCCGATGGATACCAAGGCATATTGACGCCTCTCGCTGCGATATCCTACAGCATCCACTCTGGTAGTGAGGACGAAAAGCATTTCCTGAGGCATTCGACAGTATGCTTTTCGATGTCCTAAGCAGGATTGGTATCTGAGAGTAAATTATACCTAGCGCTGCAAGAGATGCAGGTATGCCCCATCATACCGGATTCGCTAGGCTATATCAAGGGGAGAAAAGGGGACAACACTGCAGGATGGCAGAACAGGACATCAAAAATGATTTTCGTTTGCCTGCGCTGGCATGCCGATGAATACCAAGGCATACCAACGCCTCTCCTACAGTAGATACTATGGCAGCGATAGAGAAAAATCCTTAAGTACACGTCGGCATGCTGTTCGATATCCTAATATTTTAATCTCTAGGTGCGGATAGATAGGGACACTGGAGGATGGCAGAACAGAGCAGCGAACATGTTTCCCATCCGCATGCACTAGAATGCCGATGGATACTAAGGCATACCAATCCCTCTCGCCGCGATATCAAGAGAAAAATCATCCTTGAAGTATCGGAGGCGGAGATATGGTCCTCCATACCGGGATTCGCAGGCATTCGCCATACTTTCGGTGTGTGACGATGCTTTGAGTAAAGCGAAACTATCGTTATCCACTAATGCGTGGGAGCTCAAGGATCAATATTACCCATTGTTCTATAAAGTTCCTTCTACCGATGTATGGTACATATTTAATATACGGTCATTGAGTAAAGCTTGTGTTAGCTAACCTATAGGGCAAACGGTAGAGGAATGCTTTCCTTTCCTGACCCTTGGCAATTCTAAAAATATAAGTTTATCGCTAAGGTAAAGGTTAGAGTTTGACAAAACTGGCTACTGTCTATCGATGATAAAATACTGTAATAAATTAATTTCATTATTTTTCATATTATGATAATTGACGCCAGTACATGATGATCAGTGTTATTTCGTAATGGGTCAGGTAGATTTCATTAGTACCTACGGTCTGATATAAACGATTATTTTACACGTTCAACTTAAGACTTACTCCTTTTAAGTTAAATGATTAAAAATATTGCAAAGGCATTGTACTAGTGAACTATGGTTTCCACGACCTGCCAATAAAAAATAATCTAAAAGAGTCCTAGTTCATGGTTGAATACATGTTGATTACAAAACTTACCCATTGAGCCATCAGTATGTCATTATTCAACAGCCTTAGCTTTGCTAGTAACAAGACAATATTGAAGTGCTTACTGTTCCAACTATTATTTAAGATAGGCCAACCACCCAGTTCATCAAGGATCTTCAGTAAAGGGGCTACTCCTCTTTTTGCTATCACGTCTTCTTGCATACAAGATATATAAAACATCTTGGCCTTAGAAAAAATCAATTAGGGAGTTCTTTATTTTGTATTTAAGAGTACTGTTTTACTGAGATTATTTTTAAAAGTCATCCAAAAGTCCAAAACCATCACCATTGTGGAATAACGCTGTACCAACAATAAGAGATTTATCAAAGATAAAAATAAAGTATAGGACAGGGTCTCAGCCGTTGCCAAGGCTCTTCTTCATATTGAACCTTCAATAAAAGAGTTTTGTAGCAAAGATATAACTTATGGCCATAATTTCAGCAGATATGGTTGTTCCTGTCTTAGTTTTGGCTGTTAAGGAAAAACGATTTTAAAGCGCTAATGATTGATTATTCTACCATTTTCAGGCACATTGCCAAAGAGGATCTTTTACAAGCATTGTAAGAGGAGTATATCCAAAATTGAAAAATATTTTCCCCAGATTACCTTTAAGGTGGCATCTGAAGTGTCGTTAGGAGAAAAATCACTACTCAGCAAGCTCTTTTTCAAATATGTAATGTCAAAATTTATATTGTTTTGCACATTATCTTCCAACAATCCTTTGAGCGCCATATCTAAGTTTTCTCGCACGATCTCAAAAGTATCGTAAGTAGCTCTATCTGCAGGTATAACATTGTATCGTCTCCAATTGCCACACGCATACTCGTAGAAGTCCACACAAGGATCGACTCGAGTGTTCATGAACTTCTTCATTATTTTACCTGACACAAAGTAATATTATGGGATACGTAACAGTTATTTTCCCCATATACCAACGATCATTTGATATTTTTACCGAAATTAGATGTGACACGGATACTGCTTCAGACTTCGATTGTATGTATGTATGACGTTATCTAAAGCTATTTTATCAAGCGTTGTACATATGTGGTGAGCTATTATTCAGGGTGTACACGTTATGGTAGTCATTATTGGAATGGGTAATAGGGGGGGGGTCAAAGCATGTCAAAAAGTTCATATAAACCATGGTCCAAAAGTCAATAGATTTTTGTCTAAATGGCTTTATAGTTTACAACTTTATGTGCTTTATATTGACCATAATCACCACAATCTTACTAATTTTTATAATCTAATCTAAAACGATTTTAAATTGGGTAATTAACAAATAAATGACATTAATTTTTTCTAAGTTAAGCCAAAATTTGTAGTCAGTAAGTAAGTTTCATTAAGTTAAATATTTAAAACACACATGACAACATCGCGTCGGTCATTCATCACTCTTATCGAACCGGCAATCGATCGCAAACAGTAACAGTGGTTAGTTATTGTTCGCGTACATCGTCGTGTTTATTTACAATGTTCTCAATCAAGAGTTCGCCGACATGTTAGTTTACGGTGATGCTCGTCAGAATTCAAATCTTGCAGCTCAAATTTATCGCGACAGATTTCGCCAACGGGTACACCCAGACAGAAGGAAATTTGTGCAAGTGTACCAAAGACTTCGAGATACAGGAAGTGTTCAGCCCACTAATATTCGCACTCGTGAAAGACAGGTTACTGTAGAGCAGGAGGAACAAATTTTAAATATCGTGGAAATCAATGCAGATATCAGCACTCGGGAATTGGCCGCCGCGTAGGACTATCGCATACCATAGAATCCTACGGGAAGATTTGCTTTATCCCTACCATGTACAACGAGTGCGGGCCTTGTTACCAGAAGACTATCCTCACAGACTAACATTCTGTCAGTCGTTTTTGCACAAAAACATTGAAAATTCGGATTTTTTCAAAAACATTCTAGCGACGGACGAATGTACTTTTACGCGAGATGAGATATTAAATTTCCATAATACTCACACGTGGGCCCAAGAAAATTTTCATGCCATTCATGAAGGTCATCTCCACCAACGTTTTAAAATACATATTTGGACGGGTATTCTTGACGATCAGGTAATTGGCCCTTTCGAGTTACTCCCAATGTTGTCAGTAGAAGGATACCTTAGCTTTCTAGCCAATAACCTACCAGAACTTTTGGAACAGACCTTAGACAACATGCCATGACAACCGAGACAGAATTTATGGTTTCTTCATGACGAGGCACCACCACACATTTTTGGAGGCGTCATTCAGTATTTGAATGCACATTATCCAAATCGCTGGATCGGTCGAAATGCTCCTGATCCTCGAAAATGGCCAGCAAGATATCCTGACCTCAATCCGATGGATTTCTGGTATTGGGGAGAACTTAAAGGGACGATTTATGGGGCTGGTCCAATAACAACTGACGCAAAACTCCGCGAAAAAAAATTTAATGCGGCTGAAATAATAAATGGACAACTTCGAGGACCTAGAGTAAGAAGAAACTGGGTTCGTCATAATGCAGCTTGTGTGGAAAGTGGAGGACGACATTTTGAACACGTTCTTTAAATACAAAAAAGGTGCACTGTGGGTTTCAAAAAGAAAAACAATGTATGTATCAAAATTGTGTTCCCTATTTATAAGTGGATTTTTTAATACGTTCAATAAACTTTGACACACCAGGTGAAGCGCTAAGACAGCTAGTGGTAAGTCCGTTTTTTTTAATTGTTTACATTTTACGGGTACATTATCAAATAATGAAATAATACCTAAGAGCCAAAAATAACAAACTCCATCTTTACTTAAACTCCGTTCCGTCGTAATTTGCGTCTGGCATTGCGGCGTTGTCAGATTTTATTTTACTTTAAAGTCGCTTTTCTCTAAAAAATGCCGTTTTGACCCCCATGTTATATGAAACTTTTTGCTTCCTCTATTACCCATTTAAATAATGACTATCATTAAGTTTACACCCTGAATATTTTTTGAGTATTGTCCTCCATGTCCTTTCCTCATGTAGTTGCACCGCTCTTCCTGCCTCTTCAGTGTACTGATTGCATAGAACTCATTTTCTTAGTATGGCGACTGTTGAGATTTTTGATTTATTCTAAGATTTACGTTATTCTTTGGTAGCATGACATCCAGGAATGGAAGGTTTTTGTTGCTTTCTCCTTTTTAGTGCATTATATCAACGATCTTATGTTTGTTCAGGCGATCAGATATAGTAAAGTTTTCCCAACACTGAAAGTCTGAAGCAATATTCATAGAAAATACAATTACATGGTGGGTTACCTTGTAGCTTTCTGATTTCATAGTTGCTATGTTCATCATGCACGTTAAAACTCATGTTTAGCAAATCTCTGTATTCAATGTTTTCATTTAGAACCTGCTGTTGATCGGTGTTACTAATTTCGAATAATTGTTTTTCTGTAACATTTTCATAAATGATATGGTCTACATCATCGTCGAAGTCGCAGTATTTCTCTATTTCGCTCCAGTTTTCGACAAGATCCTCCTGAAATAGTAGGATCATGTTATAGTTGCCTTGTAACGTAAATCAATCGCTAGAGCATCTATGATAGGAATATAGTCACGTTAAACACATTTTTCAACACTACTTGACCATGTTTTCATATTTTTTATACAAATTATCATAGCTAAAATAGGTTTAAAAAGACACTTCAATTGAAGAGTAAGTGGTGTTCTAAGATTCGGAAAACGTGGTACTTTTCTATACTTAGACTTCATGTAAAAATTTCATTTTCTTTCGATTTATTTACGAATATTTATATTCGAAAGGAATATGTGAGAGTACCGGTTACCTTGAGCCACCATGCAGGTGTGAGTATTTCATACCCGTAATACCGTGTGGCAGGGAAAAGGGAGCTCACATGGAAGGACACGCATAGATTCTAGTTCCACCTTAGAGATACGCCGGGTAGTATCACCACGCGCTACGGTCTGAGATTGTCTTCCTCCTAAAGGGAAAGGAAACAAGGGTGGGCTGGTCTTAGACGGTTGCGGGCGCTACTTTAAAATAAGAAAGGATGACTGTGGATGCATACCGAGGTAAATTTTTATAACAGTGTCGGATTTCGATTAGCGATCTAGCCTGTAAATCGTTTCCTATTTTGGTACTCAGCAAGTGATCATTTAGTATTGTTCTACCCTTGTTACTGTTCGTCGATATTGTGTTGTTGAATTGTTGTGCTGTACTCTTGTTGGTGTGATTGTTCTTGAGTGCCTTTTTTTATCAAGGTTAATAATACATGTAGATAATAAAAGGACATATGCGACAATTTTAGTTACGAATGCAGTGAGTTTAATTCATGATGAGGACAACAACAGTGTGGAGTAGTTCAACTCTGTAATCACAAAATACATTGGGGTTAGCGAATAAACTATTGCAAGAAGAGGTCATACCATGGAAAATGTGCTGCAGCTGTAGTGAGCCACAATACCGAGCGGCCTGTCTATGTGGTCCAAATACATTTGCGTGCTAAGCTTAGTCCAACCTCGCTTATCACTAAGATGGAACAAAGACTCAAACGCAAGAATCTTGAAAAGAAACTCAGACCAAAAAAAGCTTATATAAAAATAACTAACAATTCGGATAGCAATTCCAAAGAAAATGAATAGTTTTATGGTGAATTCAGTCAAAAACCTGACATTAGCTACATTGATTTGCACGTTGCTAATCGGAAATTTTTAGGGAAACTTAAAAAAAGTGACGACGAGATTTTGCAGATCGAACAAGTCACCAAATCACAGGACTGTGCTTTGTGGCGTCTTCAACGGAGGATAAGGTTGACAGCGTCTCGATTTGGTGAAGTTTGTATAAGAAGGCAGACAACAAGCTGTAAAGTTCAAGTAAACTCCATCATATACCCAACAGAGTTTTCTAGTAAGGCAATAAAAAAAGGCAATACAAAAATCATTGGACACGGCAGTTCAATCTTGTGGTTTGTTTATTGATCGCACACATCCATTTCTGGCAGCATCTACCTATTACAGTAGACAATAAATGTACTTAATCCAGGTATAAGCCTACCTGTTTATTTCTTTGCAAAAAATACCTGTTTCCTCTTATTTTGACTGCATAAGATATTTTTATGCCCCACGTTCAATTGTTACCATCTACCACATGACCCTTGTAAACATAATTAATTGTGTTTATTGACGTGAATAAACGAATTTGAATTTGAGTTCTTGAATTTATTTTAGGGAAGATATAAAATTATTTGAATACATTTTTTCTTAGTTGGAACGCACCGTCACGACGCTTGGACTGGCAGGTTGATGATGAATTTCGCCCAAAAACCGATTTGCACTTCACAGCTTACGTTAAATTTTTATTATTTCCAAATGAAACTCGCAGCGTGCTAAAGACAAAGTCCACAGGGTGCCAGTGATCCACTTTTTCGATTTTATCCACTAGGATATTTTTAAAATATTAAGAAGTTGAGCACCAATAGCATTTCAACCCACCATAATTCTTGCGCAAATACAAAATTTTGTAAAAAGCTCTGATAGCACCCTAGGCAATTATGTCCTGCTTATATCCAGGAAAACATCACAAACTGCAGAACACAAATTGAAGGTAACGGCGAAAGGGGCACATTGCACGGGTCATGAAATTCAAATGAAAATGCGGGTAGGTATAAAATCTACCAAATTATCATTCTCAAGAACATATTTCCTTGACATATCGATAATTTCTCCACGCTAAATTCCCCTATACTTGACTGGAGTGATATTCGAATTTAATCTTCCCTACTATCGGTAGTTGCAGATCTGTTGGCTCTTGGTGTCAAACCTATAGAGCAGATACCGATTTTTTCAAATCGTGAGCACATTATTCGTCGGATTTTCGTTACTTAAATTTCCTGTAATCACTGGGATCAGAAGCTTCTCAATAATAGAACGTGTTTCACTGATTTCAACCCCCCCTTTTTAAGCAGTACAATTTTTTTATGTCAATGATTAGGAACCCCTGAAACGACAAAAACGGAGTTTCAGAAATTGTTACTTTTTCTTTTTTGCCTATAGCACCGTTGCCACTGGAGTAGTATACTAGTAACCCCATGTGGAAATTTCATAAAAATCCGAGCGGTAATTTCCAAGTTGATGATGAGTGATACGGTTTTTCGTGATGTAGATGTCATATGACTTAAAAAAACATAACATATCATTTTAGAAATTTTTCGCGAACCCAATACTTCCTCGCCAGTGGCGTGGGAAGTAAAACGGCTTTAAAATCGAGGAGTATCAGCGATCGCGATTATGAGTACCTATTTGCAGAACGAGTTATCGACGCGATATTATATGAAATAGGGCCACCAACTTATCTGAATACGTCCTTCCTTAGTCCGTACACTGCGCCGCAACGCTTGTGTTGGCAGCACGAAACAGTAGACAAAATTCGTCCAAAATACGATTTGTAGAGGTTTCCGCGCTTCGCAATTGACGCTTTATTTTTTGATATTTTTGGGTGAAATTTTCAGTGTGCCGAAAACCAAACCTCACAGGGTGCTACAGAGCCACTTTTTATTTTTTCTCTAGGTTCTTTTTAAAAAAATCGCGAAGTTGAACAGAAAAAGTGCGCACTTCAACCCATCATAAAACTTGTGCAAACACAGAATTTCAAAACGTGATCCTATAGCACCCTGAGCAATTATCTTCTCAACATACTGTATGAATTTCATTGAAAAATATTGAAAAATGGAGTGTCAGTTTTGGAGCAGTTAAACCCTTGTAAATGGCTTGAAACTCACCGCGTCGGAGCGGCCTTAACCAAGAGAACAATTCTCTTGGGAACCTGAATCTAATTAATATACGCAGAGCGTTAACTGTGCTATCGCCGCCGTTCTGCCTAAAGGGACGTATGGTCTGAAATTTAACAGGGTTTTTATGGAACCTTCCAATGCTTAAATCTTAGACCAATATTGATATCCAGTTTCAATCTTTTATATGCATAATGTTGATACCTTTGGACCAAAGTCAGTTACAGTCCGTTTAAATATAGTCTTTTCCTTCAAAGATGAGCAATAAGTTTCCTTTGAAAACAATTTGTAGGACAGGTTTGAACTGGAATAGTATGGAGGTTCAGGAGCATACACAGTTTTGGATCCTTCCAAAACATCTCCTTTGTCTTCCACTTGTAAGGTATCTGCTTGGTCATATTTCTTCAAAGATAGTCCTCTGAATATTGGATCGGTATAAGGAACAGCGGCCTCAGATAGTTGCATTAAAATTAATACTATTTGGGAAGAAAGTAACATTTTCAATGATGTAAGTGGGTTATGATGTTTGACGTATGTCAAGATTGATTACAAGAGACAACAACAGAACTATAGTAATAATACATCTGACTTCTTGGGACTCCCTTATGACTTATTAGTCAACAATCGAAGGCTATCAGACGCTTATGGGATGCTTCCAACGTTGTATATGTACAACTGAAGGGAAAATTATACAAAATGAACGATGAAACAATTTTGTCGAGCGATGAAACAATTTTTTCGAGCGCCGAAAAATAATTTCAGATCTGCCTTCTGCGACCAAAACTCAAGTCTGACAAAGCCTCAGAAATGTCTAAAAACGAAGTTTGACCGTTTTTTGTTTGTTTTTTGACGATAACTCCGCCGCCAATGTACCGATGTTCAAAAACTACAGAGCTTTCTCGTCATTTTCATAGTAGTAACCTAGGGTCAAATTTTCATCAAAATCCTGATAGTACTTTCAGAAATATCATTAGTTACGGAACATACATCATTATGAATAGGTAGGTATTCAAATCAAAATACTTCCCACATACCACAATCACAGCAACCAAGTAAATAATGTTGTCAAACACATGACATCTCGTGTGGAAGCCTAACGAACCATGCTTCCAACGTTGTAACGTCCTTTGACGCCGGTCAAATTTACCGACAAGAACCCGAACATTGGACACATGCAATCCGTCAGCGCTCTCCCACACGATGTGGCGAATGGCCATGTGTCCAACGTTGTAAGGCGTTTGCCACATCGTGTGGGACCGGTTTCAGCGTACCCATTCCCAGTTTTATATGAACCTCGAGTTCTGGATATGATTTTCGATCGGTGCGCAATAAGAGCGCCACCTAACAGATGCTTGATATAGCAGATTTTTTCGTGAGTCCACGGTGTAGTACTGGGAACTGATACTCAAATTTTCGCGAAAAACGGGAATAGGGCAAGACGGATATAACGTCATCAAAGTGTCAAAAAATCACGAGAGTTATGTTGCTGTCATTTAGCACTTTATTAATTGATATAATAATTGCATTGTATTCCTTTTTACTAGCTCATCACTTTTGGTTTATATTAACGATTTTATCTTAATTATGAGTCAGTGATTCAATTTCGGTCACAGCGAACACACATACATTGTAATTCCGGTTCGGTCCAGTAAACTATTGTTGGAACCAAATACAGTTTTTTAAAAACGAAGTTTGAAGTTCCGACTACATAATTGGAGCATCCCGCAGTAGGATTCCCAAAGGGATTTTCGCCGATTAGCCCTTGAGTCCGAACTCTTAATTGGGAACCACGAACCTCCGTGACGAGCCGGTACGACTGAAGAAAGAAGAAAGAATTTGGACTACAAGTTCCCTTTGTCCTGTTGAAGTCGACGTCCACCTGAGGAACCTAGGCCAAGAACGGGATGAAGTACTGGACCTATCAGTAAGTGCTCATTGTATCCTTATTTTTCATGAGTGACTCACCCCGACCTGTACATCCTTTCGACGGTGATAGTGCAGATCAAATCGCTACTCGCATAGCAAGCTTAGAATTAGGAAGTAGAGAAATAAGACAAGCAAACGAAACTATAGAAAAGATAATAATGACGACCCCCAGTAGAAATAGTGCCCCCCAGTTCGACATAAAATTACTCCAAATTGTCCCAGAATTTGATGGGAATCCCTGTAGACTATATAGATATTTAGAAATAAGCCCAGATTTATTAAATAACTATTGGAACGCTGACGATACAGGATGTGTCCAAAACAAAATACTGCTGCATGGCATTTTCTCGAAATTGACTGGTGCTGCAGAGTAAGTATTTTCTCTTAGCGGTTCCACAGACTGGAACAGCATCAAAAATTTGCTAATTGCTCATTTTGGTGATCAAAGAAACGAGAGTAGTCTTATCTCAGATATGACTGCCCTTAGACAAAATTCTAATGAAAGCTCTTTACAGTTTTATTCTAGAGTTGTAACCATGCTGAATCATTTACATAACTATATAAATATTCATGAAACAGTGGATGACATCATAATTTATTCTACTTCTTTACAAGAACACATTGTATCATTGAAAAAGGTTTTCCAAAGATTAACAGTGACAAACCTCAAAGTTCAATTAGAGAAAACCGAATTTTTTAAAAAGGAAGCAGGTTTTCTTGGTCACATTGTCACATCGCAAGGAGTAAAACCAAACCCCGACAAAATTCAAGCCATTCTCAAATATCCATTGCCCAGAACCACCCGCGAAATTAAACAGTTTTTAGATTTGATTGGTTATTATCGTAAGGGCTTTGCAAAAATCACTCGCCCTTTCACCCTATGTTTGAAAAAGGAGCAGAAATTAAACATGACGAAAAATTTCTCAAAGCTTTTGAACATTGTAAGAATCTCTTAACGAATGAACAATTACCTTCAAGAACACAAGAATAGGACAAAATTAATTTATAGCTTTATCTATGACATGTCGAAAACCCAAAAGGAAAAGTTTATTCGAAAAGCTAATAAAGATCGCGAGAAACCGACCGACTATTCTAGAGAAAAAGTAGCGTACCGACGTGACGCGAAGTCCCGAGGCAAAAAGCTGAAACCACCCTATATAAAAGAACAGATCTTGACTGACAAAGATTTAAAACTAAAAACTAATAGCAATATTTTTCATAAAAGTGTTTTCAAAAAGCCCAGAAAGAAAGTAACTCAAAATTTGTTACAGGATGATACTTCTTCTGATAGTGCATCTGACACATCAGTCCACGGTGAAGGTCACCAACTTTAAAACAAATCCTGGTATCTTCAGATTAGGTGATGCTAAAGTAAAAATAGGAACACATACATTTTTACACTATGTAGATTTTGAGCCGATAATTAAGAAAGTAAATTCGCTAAGTACAGTTTTTCATGAAATCAACGACCAAACAGAAAGGAATAAATATAATTTAGGATTCATTCCAGATACACATTTGGCAGATATAGAACAACATATAGTTTACTCGATGTCAAATTTGAAAAACAAAATAAAGTTCATATAACCATTCTGGAAAACGCAATATCGCCCAAAATGAGGCTTAATAAATGGTTTAGGATCAATTATCAAAATGATTTCGGGGAACTTAGATGATGACGATGCTAAAAAATATGACCAGGCTAAAAAATCAGAATCAAGTAATCAAGACAGTTAACCAGCAAATTTTCTTGACCCACGAAGTTCTCAAAAATAACAATAAGACATTTAGCCTTATGGTTCACAATCAAGCTGTAATAGAACAAACTTTGGTAGAGATGCAAAGGAACAATACATACTATTTTACTATTTTGGATACACTATTACAAATAAAGTTCAATTTTGATACACTGCTCTCTATAACTAGTAATTTGGAAAATGCCATCGCATTTGCCAAAATTGGGTCATTGCACCACAGTATTATTTCGATAGATGAATTGAAGTCAATATTCCAAATATTAGTCAAAAATCATAATAAAGCTCAGTTGGTGTATTCAGACATCAAAGATATTTATAAGCTTTACGACATAATTTCAGTAGAAGCATATTTTTCTCAAAATCGATTCGTTTTTGTCTTACATGTTCCGCTTTTGCACGTAGACAAATTTAAGCATTATCATCTTTATTCCATTCCTACTGTTAACCTAACTACCATTATTCCCAAAAATTCCTATTTCACAATGAGTACCAAAATGTACCAATATGATGCTGAACCATGTCAAATGATAGAAGATATTTTTACTTGCCATGAAAACAAATTGGTCCATGTAGCAGAAAAAGAAGAAGACGATTGTCTATTTGCTATTTTACAAGTAAACAAAAAGCAGCCAAATTATAACAAAATTAACGTAACTCTTAAAATGGACTTAATTGAAGAAGTTTCAGAGTCCAAATACATTACCATTTTCCCGAAACAGTGAAGCACCCCTACAAATGGAGGCTACCCATGTATGCAATTATGTTAATTGGAAGTATTACCAGAGAAGAAAAGGATCACTTAGAAGCCAGCATTTAGAAGAAATCGAAATGCAACCCCAGAGGCACGAAGTTTTGTTTGTGCCCTCCAAAACCTCATCTTAAGGGTGGAGGAGTTATGTTGCTGTCATTTAATACTTTATTATTTGATATAATAATTGCATTGTATTCCTTTTTACTAGCTCATCACTTTTGGTTTATATTAACGATTGTATCTTAATTATGAGTCAGTCATTCAATCTCGGTCACAGCGAACACACATACACCTGTAATTCCGGTTCGGTCCAGTAAACTATTGTTGGATCCAAATAAAGTTTTTTAAAAACGAAGTTCCGACTACATAATTCGTGGTATGGTTATCCGCCTAACATAGGTGGGGTGACTTCGCAGTGCCGAAAATTAAGTAAATTAAATTATTCAATCATAAATCAAGAAAATGGAGGAACAGATCCACCGGATTTTAAATGGCGAGGGAGAAGACAATGACGTGATCCTAGATATAGGAACCGCACATATTATACAAAACGGTAGACTTTATTGATGTATACGTTGCACAGGAAACGATCGGCTTCAAAGGAGGCAGCTAAATTTATCAAGGACCTTAAAGGAAAAATGTTGACGGCAAGCACTGCCACCTAACGTGTAACTTGAAACTGTCAAAGCTTCAAGGAGAGGGGGAAATTCCATCGGTCCCCATTCCATTTCCTTCGGGATCTCGCGAAAAAATCTTTGTACAAGTGAACGATATTAATGAAAATGACAGACGATTTGAGGTGAGGAACATCATCTAAAGGAATCAGTTCCAAATCGTTCCAAAAAAATAGTCATTTATGGACTTGCAGTAGTCATTTTTTACACAATCTATCTACTTCCGGTACAATCGGAAATGCCACCATTTTGAAAACATCTTAGCCGAATTTCTCACATCAGATATAACTTTTCGAGTAATCGATCGTTGCAGTGCGACACCCTGTTTATACCATTTTATTGGGAATATGGGCGTCTAGAGGAAATGGGCGACATATCCATTCTAATTCAACAAAAAACTTTTCGGAGTACTGGTGTAGGGCCACATAAACCGC